CATTGCCCTGCAATACTTTAAGCCCTGCTCTGATTGCCAAACTTCAACCCTGTTGCATTTTGCTCTTGTTAGCTATTTTCAATGATAATTTAGATAAGCTGGGTATTTGCTTACCTCATGTTGTGTCCCGTTTGAGTCGCTGAGAAGGGCAGAATGTTTTGCCTTCCACAGGCCGTGCCCCAGTGATAACCTGTGATGTGCCCACACACAACCCTAGAGTCTAAGGGGTTTTATGATAGAAACTTCAGTGCCAGAAGTCTAGAGGAGAGCATTTGACTGCGCTGTCCTAAAAGAAAAGGTATTTGCAGCTGTTGGTAGGGGTTATGTGTTTTAAAGCTCTGAATTTGGTACTCGTTAAACTTAGTGGGAAGAGGAAAGCATTTCTGCTGGCTTTACAGTTGAACACATCCCACTGAAGTCACTTGAACCTTGGGGCTGAGGCAGTGGCCGTCTCTGCCACACAATGCAGCTCTGTGCAGAGGACCCCAAGTTACCTCCAAGACACGGTGCCTGCGGCAGTGCTGCATCAAGGGACCAAAGCAGGTAGCTCTGTGCCCCCATGGTGTTAGTGTTGCTGCACAGCCTCCAGTGCTGTGGCAGCTCATCCAGCGCTGCCTCAGAAATTTCTTCGCTGCGCCTCATTGCAAGTTTACCTACGTCTTCTGACTCTTTCGCTCTGCCACTCTGCTATTAGTTCTGCATCTGAACCTCAAAGCCAGGAGCATGAGGGGGGTCTGAGCCAGTCCCACCTAAGGCAGAATACTGTAGAAGTAGATGGAAGAAAAAGTCTCGAATTACTTTGGTCATTCATTTGTATAGAGTTAAATCATATTCTGTATGCTTCTTATGTTAACACTCATTAAGAAACAGCAAATCTCTATTTAATCTGTATTTTCTACATTTGATTGTTTTGTTTCTTTTGCTCTAACTTTTGGGGATATCCAGTGAGTTTGTCATCCTCTAAAGAAGGCAAAAAATACATCATATGAAAGGAAATGACAAATTGCTTTTGTGCTTCTTCATTGTATTTCTTCCCCTGTGGCTTCTTAGGTCGAATGTTAAAATTGCAAGTTCTTAGTGCCTTAATTTGTGTTTTCAAGATGCTTAGGACACCTTTTCAAAATCATAAATCATTATTGTGAAGTATGATAGGCTTGGTGGTCTGTTATTGTGATAACTAATAGTTCTGGTTTGGCAGACCCTTCTAAGAGCAGCGGTGTTTGTGATTGCTTGACATTTCTTCAATTTTTGCTTAATCCAAAGATTCATTGCATTCCAAGCATAAAGCATGGCTTTGCACTAAAAGAAAAGAAGTTATATTAATAATCTCAGGAATGTTTGGGGGTGCTTTTCTAGTGGCTGCTGCATTGCTTCAGAGGTATTTTCTTGCCCTTGTTTAAACAATCAACTTCAATGTTTTCAGACAGTTCATTCCAACTGATTGAACTTTCATATAAGCATGTAACTCTCCAAAGATCAAAAATTGCCTCAGGATATTTTTAATTTAATAAAGAACCAAGCTGACTTTAGACTTATACAGACTGCATAAATCCAAAACTCCAGAATCTAATAGATCAAAAACTTTTTAATTAAAAGTGGAGATATCTCGATTTAAATAAAGTAGAGTCAGACATGTCTTTCTGTCATATTTTTTGGGAATTGCCATTTAGCCCTATGAATAGCCATTTACAGTAAAAGGGAGGAGAAAAGACTGAATAAGTTGAGCCAGGGATAGCAATCTTTTAATCTTCCAACTGTCTTGCTAGAGTTATCTGTTCATAGAAAATACGACATCTCATCTGAGGACCTCCAGAGGGTATTTTGCAAAAGTATAATTTAATGGACACATTTTAATCAATCAAGTACAGTTAAGAAGCTGCTTTAACTGTTACCAGAAAGACTGTTAACACCCCAGAAGACAGGGTACTGAATTTTGTCATCTTTTCTTAGAAAATAATCCTCTCTTGTTGTTTCTGGGCATTCACTTTCTTAACTCATTCTAAGACGTACCTAACTATAGATATAACTCCAGCAGCATTTAAACACACACTGAATTATGTTGTGGAGTAGGGATGACTCATTAAGTTGGAGGCATGGGCTAGAGATTTGAGGTCCCTCCCACAGTTAATTATTCTTTTGACTGTAACAGTCCCGGTCATTAACTGTAAATTGTGAGGTTATACAGATGACTAACACAGGAGTTTATAGCGAGTGATTTTTTTAAGTAATCTTTTCCAATCCCAAAATCCATGATATCCTTTCTGTCTTTTCTCGTCCAGTCCTTTGAAGTACTTGGTTGGTGCTGATCCCGCTCAGCCAGTTCAGGGTTTAAGTGAACACTGAAACAGATCCATAGCAAGCTGTGAGGGTTGACATTGAGGTGTTGCTCTCTCATCCCTCAAGGAGAAATTCTGGTGACTCAGAATTTGGAGTAAGAACTTAAAAATTTGGCAGCAGCATGCCAGGGCGCTCCTTTGCCTGCACATGGGCCTTCAGAGGCTAAACCAGCATCCCTAGTGGTGGTTGCCTCAAGCTGTCCTAGTCCAGGGTGAGTCTGGACATCAGCACTTGAGTGCAAAGGAGCCCACGTCACCTCCCCTGTCAAGAAGCAACTGATGGCACATCTGCAGCAGGTAGAAGGACGTACAAAGACAGGGGTTGACAGGAATGAATGGTGACAAGGAGATAAACGAGACTGAGTTTGGCCAGACAGGGCTGGAAAGCGGTAACAATGAACTGTGAGAAGGAGGGGAGACTAAGGCTGGGAGCCATGGGCAGCTGGTGTCATCTGAGGGTAGAAGATAGCAGAGAACTGAAGTGGGATGGGTGAGCTGGCTGGCTGTGGGACAAAGCTGAGATGAATGAGAAGGAGAGGGAAGAAATGGGACTTGATTTGGTCAGGTAAGAGAGAGGAAACCTAGAACTATTGTAAGGAAAGGTGGGGTTTGATTACAAAGGGAGAAACTAACCAGACCGGAAGATTGCTTGCTATGTATTTCCTAACTTCCACTAGCTTGACTGCAACTTCACTTCACTCTTTCTAAGCAGAGCTTTGTGTTGTGTGGATAATACTATTGTATTACATGCTTATTATGTATTATGCTATTATACATATTTTCATTGTGTGTGTGCACGCATAACGTATGCAGTAGTGTGCTAGGCTGCAAGGAGGTCATAATATGGACCATGCGCACAGGTCTTTTGTTCGTACTCCCTGGTAACTTTTTTGGTTGAAATAATTCTTTCGAGTAAAGACTGCAGGATGCGACCCATTGACTTACTGAGGCTGTTTGTGCTAACATGAGACTCTGAAGAGAATGGTTAGTCGGCATCCCCTGCCATGGGCAAGTTAATGTCAGTGTGAATTCACAGTAGCGGAGGATTCAATCCAGTGTCCACGAGCCTGGCTGGTTGTTTTCATATTACACTGGAAGCTTAAAGTTGTCTTTAGTTCTCCCTTGCTTTTTTTGCTTAGAAAGTAGCCAGACAACTGCCATTTTTGCTCAGAGTAAGGAATCAAGAATTCAGTTTGTGTGTTGGGACTTACTGTGTAATACAGATATTTACTGCTACCAAATAACAAAAGAGAACATAATAATTTTGAGGAGACTGCTCATACAGAAACCATTGTTGTTTATACAATAAAAGCTTCTACAAGCAATTAAGAAAACGTTTTTTCTCAGTTCTGGTATTTCTGTTGTTAATGGTGTCTTTTCTTTTTCAGAACAATAAATCTGAACAGTAGTTTACTGCAACAAGTAATAGAAAGAAAACGTGAAGTGCTGTGCATCTTGAGAGAAAAGATAATAACAACTCAGAAGTGTACAATATCTGAACATATCCAGACAGAAGAAAAAATCAGTGGTGTGATGGGGTGCAGTACAAAAACAGTAAAGGTAAAAGTTGTTAAAAATCTGCAAGGAATAGAACATTTGCAGATTATCGGAGAAGAAATTATGATTTCTCCAAATAGACTTCAGATTATTTTTCATGCTTCCTTAACGTATTGAACTCACTGCACTGCTTAGTTGTGAAACTTCAGAAAGGTAAAATGTTTTTTCCATTGCAAAAAATGCCATCTTGTAGCATGAGCCTGGAATCTGGTTTCCATCAATACTGTCAAATTGTGATTCAGTTTCTATGTAGATTCCTGCCTACAGCAGAACATAAACCAAACATAAAACAATTCAGTGAAAGTTGAAGAGCAAAAAGCATTGCTGAAACAAATTTATTTGGAAAGCCAAGTAATTGTTCATCAAAAATGTTTGCAGTGTCTACTGAGTTTTAATATTTATTGACAAGCTATTTGTTTTCGATCGTGGGAGTAGAGATTACCTGCATTATGAGGATATCTGAAAAATTGCCTATGAATTGAGAAGGAATTACCAAAGTCAAAACATATGCTCATTCATTGTAAGGTTTTTTTTTTTAAAGCTGCAGATGAATCACTTCTGTGTACAGGGCGTCACCAGTAGCAGAAATCTGGGAGTTGCCGTTCAACAACCCTCTGTGCAAGTGCCATCTTCCTGGTACCAGTCTCCAGCTGGGCAAAAAGGGTGTCAGGATAGAAGAGGGCAGGGCAGGATACTGAAGTGGGTGCCCATTTCCTAGTGACACAGTGTTTCATGTGTGGCAAGAGCTGCACCTGGAGCTCAGCTTTGTACTAGGACAGGGTAGCTAAGAGTTTGAGAGCCGCTCTTGGCATTGTGCTTCTACCTCGCTGCTCATCTTGTTCCTTTCATAGATGTCGAATGTAACATGTGCTCTAGTTAGACATCATGGAGAATAAAGCACATTCTTTCTCTGTATTTTTTCCCCTTAATTAATTCTGTGTTTAAGCTACGCAATAGCTGAATCGGATAAATGGTGAATAAATCTGTCCTCTAGGTTTCAGTGAGTGAAAATGGAAGTATGATGAAGGATTCTAGTGTGATCCTTGAAATTCCTCCTGCAACCACTATTGCCTACGGTGTAATTGAACTGTTTATAAAGCAGAGTGGCCAGTTCGGTAAGTATAAAGCTGGTTTTCTGTGGCACGCAGTTCAACTGTGGACAGAGCTGTCTGTTGGGCAATGATTTTTGCATTTCCCTGTGTATGAAGGTGATGATGCTGTATGGTCTCCATTGCCTTGATAGTTATTTGTGCTGTGAAATGCTGCTCTTCTGATTTAGTAATGCTTTTTCACTTGTTTGCATAAATCATAAACTCAGAATAATTTAGGTTTCAGGAGACCACAGGGGGTCAGCTAGCTCAAGCCCCAGCTCAAGGCAGGGCCAACTTCTGGAGTTTGATCTAAGTTCAGAGTTAGATCAGATTGCTTGTATCCTTGTCTATTCAAATTTTGAATATCTCCAGAGACAGAGATTCCATCACCCCTCTGGGCAGCCTGTTCTCATGTTTAACCACCATCATGGTGAACTTCTTTCTTTCTTCATATCTAATGAGAATTTCCCTTTCTATAACTTCTGTCTCTTGCCTTTTGTCCTGTTGTCATACAGAAGAGTCTGGCTCTGTCTTCTCTCCATGCTTCCATTGGGTGGCTATAGAGAGCAATAAGGTTCTCCCTTAGTGATATTTTTTTCCAAGCTGGACAAACCCAGTCTCTCGGCCTCTTCTCATACATGACATTCTCCAGCCCCCAGCGATCTTGGTTGCTGTTTGCTAAATTGCTCCAGTATGTGAATGTCTGTCTTGTACTGGGGAGTCCAAAACTGGACCCAGCACTCTGAATGCAGTCTCGCAAATTGAACAATCACCTTCATCAATCTGCTAGCTACGCTCTTGCCAGTACAGCCCAGTATGCAGCAAATTTCAATAGCTGCAAGGGCACGCTGCTGATCCTCTTGAATTTGTTGGCCAGGTCTTTTTCTGCAATTTTGCTTCTAGCTAGCTGGCCGTCAGCCCGTGATGTTGCCTTCACCTATTGGCAGGGAGAGTGAACTGAATATAAATCAATGATCAACCAGGAATGTTTGGACAACAGTCATGCTAAGAAAAGAATTACTCATAAAGTATAGGACTGGAATTTAAACTTCGCTGTCTATTTTACACTTTCATATATAGGTTGTTCTCAGAATGGTTGCAGAAATGTCCTTGTATGTTTTCTGGTCGTGCTTTACTTATTTCAGGTCGCATACTTTCAGGTGTCAAGTTAAAAAAAAAAAAAAAAAAGTTGAAATTGTCTCTGAGGGGAGTAGTAACTCTGCTCTGCAGAATCACCTGGTTTTTTCTTTCTTGTCTATCCTCAGTTAAACTCCCCGACCTAAAGGAGGTTTCAGGGGGTGTTATGCAAGAAGGAAGGAAATCAGATGGACTGTGTAGGACTGGAAGTTGGAAAGGACTGATGTGGAGAGAAACAGGAGATACGTTGAAGAAATAATTGAAGTGCAGTTGAGATTTGAATCCAGGATGCACTTTATTTGGATAAGAAATGCAGAAGATACTCTCCATCATTCTCCTTCAACTGACTTCTAATATTAAGGAAGTCTGTAGGTTCAGGAATATAAGTAAATACCATGTAACCTGTAAAAAAATTTCTGAAATGTGGGATTGCTCTGACATAGGCTGAACACAGAGAAATACCAGAGGGCATTGACTTCATGGGCGTAATAGAACTGTAATTCAGAGTAATCAGGTGCAATTAAGGCTATCTGACTACATAGGTATATAGCTGATAGCCTACTTAAGTGATTTCTAGATGGAAATTCCTCTGTCCTATTAGCTGGCAATACATGGGTCTTGTTAATGATCCGTATTTCTCTGCTCTTTTTCCACCTCTGCTTCTTTTTCCACTTTTTTTTCACTTTCCATATTTAATGTTATGTCTTTTAGTTTGTAAAACCAGCAGAGCTTCTTTCATGTTTTATCTCAAACAACTTATGTCTTGCCTCTTTTTTTTCATTTGTGCTATCTTCCCTTGCCTGACTGTCACTGAGAAGGTAAAGTGGAGGAACTAACAACAAAATTAGGGATTTGCCAGCAAGAATAAGTACGGTGGAGCCTAACCTTCAACTTCTTAATGTCTGAGTAGTGATAGTTTCTGTTTATGGAAATAAAAATAGCCTTTGAAGTTAAATCCAGAGACTAATGTAGTCCTTTCACATGAGACTGAAAGTCACCGGTAGCTGGTGTAATATAATGGGATTCTCTTCACAGATGATTACAGAATAAGGTGCATGTAAGGGGTTTTGTTTGTTTGTTTGTTTGTTTTTCTTTGCGGTTGGTAGTGCTTGAGTTATTCTATAAGGAAGATTGGTATATAAACTTCCTTTAAAATGTTCTGGCTAATGTGACTGGACATGCTTGGACATTTTTACAAATAAATAAAAAAAGAAAGAAAAAAAGGTCTAATCCTTTTCTGATCCCTTTACCATAATGTTTTCCTGTAATCATTATGTTTGATTTCTACAGGCTAATTTTCCACTACATGTAAAAGCTGTACCTGTAAAGGCTTTGCAGTTTTGCGTCTCTAAAGTTTCACTGCAAGTCCTCTTGTTCTTGCTTTACAAAACAGGAGGTATAGTAGCACCCGGCTGATTTGCTTTGTTTTGTTCATTGCTATATATGTGTGACTTGCTTCCTCTTAAATGTCTGTAAATTAAACAGCCCTAATCTTTTCAGCTTCTCCCTGCAAAGGAGTCTCTTTGCCTTTGATTGCTTTCATTGATCATCTCTGGTTTTCTTCCATTTTTGTTAATGTTTCTGAATAACTAACAAGATCTAACTGCACTACTGGAGGTTTGTCATTGATGGATGTAACAGAATTCAATAGGCAAAATATCACAGTATTATATATATTCTTTCATTCACTTATTTTTTCTTCTGGGTTTTTTTTTTATGAGTATGACAAAATTAATGAGATACAAAATTAATTAACAGTCCTATTAATACAAAACTTTCAGAGTCCTGTATTTTCCTCTGAATCGAGTCCTTTTACAAGATTTAACAGCAGGATCTGTATCTGTTAAAACTTTTCACATGATGCTGTGTATTGATGTCCCTTATTAGCATCGCTCTGCCTTAGAAGGGCAGGTAGTTTATTAGCACTATCTTCCTTCTTCAGGGTTCGCGTGAAAGCCTTGTTATTATCAGTCAAAGTAACATGAGCATGTTGGCCTTATGGTGCCTTAGCTGCTGTCCGGAGTCTTGTTGCTTTGGGAAGTTCTTTAATTTGAGTTAATTGCTTTCTGCTCCTCGGTAGCTCGCTCTTCTCTGTGAAGGGTTATGCAGGCATAAAGGTCTCTGTCATCTTTCTTTCTCTGTGGCAGAGATTTCTTTGTCTGCTCTCCCTTTGAAAAAGCTTTTTGCTGATGGAGTGCTCTCCATGCTTTCTCATCTGCTTTGAATGTCCTTAATTTGGTGAGACAGACTCTTACAACTGGAGGAAGGTTATATTTAGGTTTTGTGCCTGGTACATGTGAGCACTGTGCTTGATTAGTTCCTTTCTTTTTTCCCTTTGCTGTCAGGTATTGCTTTAAAATTGAGTTCCTCTTGCTAGCCTGCCTGCATTCGCCTCAGGCCTGCTGCAGAGTGCCAGGGGTACAGTTTCAAATCTTGCATTTGAGCAAATAAAAGATGATCAAAATAATACATAGGGCTTTGATTATATTCTGCATCTTTGGGGCACAATATTGGACACATGAGCACAGAACTTGGTATTCCAGATTTCTCAGCATAAGTCTTACAAAGGTTCCCTGGGTACCTTCCAGGAGTCCCTTAGCTTCATCAAGTTGGGGGCATTGGGGTGGCAAGAAATCTGCAGTCCTGTTTGGGTGGGGTAGGCCAGTGCTCGTCGTGAAGACAAGGCAGAAAGGGTAATCCAGCCAGGGTGCGTTATTTTTCTTCGTGAAGTTATTTCAAAGACAGAGTATATTGCGGAGTGATTCTGTTAGTGAACATGCCTGGGTGAAGTCCTTTCGAGGCTCTGAAAAGCCCCCTATTTTCCACTCATCTGGAGAACTTGAGGATGGACCTGTGGCTTGGCTCAGAAAGAGGAGTCTATCAGTGCCATGACCAGAAGTTCTGTGAGTGACTCTCAGAGTTCTTAGGAATCTCAGAAAATGCTTTCATGTGTTTCCATCATGAGTGGTTCCTGCAGCCCTCCTTACAGCACATCTCTTAATTGGTAGAAAATGTGAAGAATTCATACCTGCATCTCTTGTATGCAGCATTCAGGTTTACGGTGTCAGAAGTTTTCACGTTATTTGCTGTCTGCATTACTTCAATTTGCAGGAGTTGGTGTCACATTTTGTAGTTGGTAGCTGCACCACAGGACCTTTGTCTGTGCAAACATCAGGGCTGCAGTAATGCTCGATAATTCACATACATAGCAACCACTGACATTCTTCCCATCTAGAAGAGATGAGACATGGAGAAATCGCATGCGAGAACACTACATAATATAAGCTAGCATCTCATTTGGTAACTGCTTGTGTATTTTATTAATTTTTTTAAATTGAATTTCTAATTACAGAATTCTGTCTGCTAGATGAACAGCAAGGAGGTTTTGAAAAAGAAAGCACAGAAGGCTCAACTTATCCCCATTCAGCACTATTCAGAGATGCTTTATTTCTCTACCAGCCAGATGCTGTTGATAATGAGATGTACTCTGGGGCTAAAAACCGCATTCCCAGTGATGCTTCTTTAAGTGTATTGAAACAAGGTATTACCAGAAATGCTTTACATGATTACATTACAGTGAGTTAAGCAACATGACAGGAGGAAATAATCTCGTACAACAGTATGTAAGAAATTATGTTAGTTCATTTTAATAGGCCTTATCAGGAGCTCTTGGGGGAATGCACTGAAAGAATAGAAAAATTTACTTCTGCAATAGGTATATGCAGTGGACTGTTCCCTAGGAACATCCTGAATCCCTTTGTCATAAGTACAATCTTACGAAATCAGGTTTTTATGCCAATTCTGTTACATTCCAGATAAGCTCTATAAGATTAGTGATGATTTATGTTTTCATTCAGAAAGGATCACTGAAAATATTTTTTCATGATTTGGAACATACTCTCAGTAAAGCTTCTCAGTTAAAGGTTATTTTAAGTCTCAAAAATTATGAAGACATCTCCCCCGGCTTCACTTAGACGCATTATTTTCTGAGCAGCTTTATAGAAGTCTTTGGTATCAACTAAGGCTGACAAAATTAAAATGTGATTTAAATGAAAGTTTGCAAATTGGTATAATGAGCCAGGCACAACCTGTTTATTGTAGGGATGTGGAAGGAAGGGGCAGGATTGTCACCAGAGGAATGAAAAAGGGAAAGACAAATCAAGGCCTCAGAACACACTTTACTTTTCATCAGTTCTTGGTAGAGTTCTTACAGCTGGTTCTAATGATGAACATCACTTTTGTTATCTCTAAATTTCACCCTTTGTTCATGGCTGTTCATTAGACTAACTGTGACCAAAATAGATATTTGTTGTCCTGAAATGAATTCTGTCATTCTTGAATGTAGACTTGTTTGAAAGGAATAACTCTGTCTCCATGTGTATATAAAAAAAACACTTATTTGTGAAAGAATGGCATGTCACTCTTTTTGTTTTTTGTTTTAGCTTGACATACCTTTGTGCCTTTCTTGCTTAAAAGGCTTGGAGGTTTCTTTTAATTAATTAACCTGAACTGTCTCTTGGAAAAAAACTAAAAAAATTGTTTCCACTAAAGCAATTTAAAGTAGGTTTCCTCTTCTGTTATTTGTATAGATAGTCATATGATTGCGTCAGGTACAAAAAATATCTGCCTGTGGCTGGGCCTTTTTTTTTCCCCCCGCAGTTAAGTAATTTTTAGATATAAAAGGCATCTTTAAAGAGAGCGTGTTTCTTGACCGGAGTGACATGAAGGGAAATTTCTTTTAAACAAGGTTAAGAATGCTTGCATGCCTGTATTTTTGGAATGCGGAAAAACACATTCCAACCTTCCGGTTGGCATTTACTTGAAAACTTCTTTTCTTTTAGCAAAGTGGTAATTTAATGTCATAAAACATTTTCATTTTGTGTCATAGTTGAATTGTGGGGAAAGGAATGCAGTGAACTCTCTTGTGCTTCTGTTGTATGTATTGTAATGGATTCAATATTTGAATCCAGAAGAGATTTTTGTCCTGATTTTTGTAATAATAATTAGGTCAGGGGTGAAAGGTTGTAATTCTTTGATGCACCTGATGAAATATGAGGACAATAACAATTTAGAATCTCAATAGGAACTTGTAATTCTGTGTGTGGACTCATACCATTGACTTTGTAATTTATATTAACCCACAGATTAAGAAGTAAAGTTATGAGCAGAACTCTTCATTCTGCCTTATAAATGAACATTCTCTGGAGATGAACTTTCAAGTGAGAAACTTAATATATGGTTAGTTCAGTTAACATTAAAATACTGACTTCTGAAATATTAAAAATGCTGAACACCAAATGTTGATCCTTGGTAGCTGTTCTTTCTTAGGATTTTCATTGATGCTTCGTTGGCTCATTAGGGAAATACAATCAGATGTGTTCCAGCCTTGCATTATAACTTGTGCTGATGGAAATCAGGATGTCAAGATGTGGTGATAAATGAGCTTATGAAACACATAGCAAAAATGTTAACTGTTTTTACTGGCATTTGTGTAGAAATACTTAGTTTTACTTTTTACTGCTTTCTTGGGAAAGATCTGTCATGGTTGAAGACTCAGTTCCAGCCCTTTGTGAAGCTGCCGGAAGACAAGCAAAGAGCTTTATATAAAACCCTTTGTGAACTCTTGCTCCATGAAGAAATGGTAGCTGCCCTGGAGGACCTGGTAAGATGAAGAAACTTCTGCTTGCTTCATAAAAGTAATTTCAGAATAGAGCTAGCATTCTCTTTTGCTTGAACTTTTCTTCTTTCTCTTTTACTTATTCTTTTGCTTCCAGTTAGATGATATCTGTACAGGAGACAAGCCAGATCTGAAGGAGTTAAAACCTGCACAACAACAAGACCTCCTTGGCTTCTTGCAGCTCTTAGGGTGCAGCTTACAGAGTGAGCTGTTGTTGCAGAAATACCAGCCTCAGGATGAAGAACTCTTATCGGCTGCTCACCTCCTCATCAGTGCCATCTCTGGTATGCTGTGAATGAAGAGCCCTTTTTTTTTTTTTATTTTACTTTTGGAAGGTCCATCTGTGTTAAAGCATTTATGGCTCTTCTTGAGCAGTTGGTGAGCTAAGTGAACATAATTTGTTCTGTTCCTTTTTATGAGTTTGGTATACCGTGCTTAGCATTCCTGGCTGTGAATTAAATTCAGCCCTCAATCACTGGCAGATTTTGCTTGTAAAATACACATTCCCCCAAGATTGCTCAACTCTACTTTTCTGCTGAGTGTGGGCACTTCCAGTTTGGCAAGCTAATTTCTGTTCTTATTGCATACCAGAGTTCTTCCCGCCTAAATGCTGAGAATTACAAATTAGGTGTTGTCTTCTGTGTAACAGCATATATTGTTGAGGTGCAAACTATATTTAAAAAAAAAAGAATTTAACGTAGAGACACTGCAATTAGAGGGTTGTTTTGCAGCTGCTGAAGAAGGAGATTAAACATAAATGTCAAACAAATGCCATCCTCTCAATCTAGCTGGCACCACAGTGTTAATTAAAAGCTACCTGCAAAGTCCAAGACAGACTTTCCTGGCTTTTTCTCCTCTCTCTCATATGTAAAGAACTTCGTGACATTAAGATAACGAAGGGAAGTCCAGTGTGGTATTAGTTAGACGTGGCATCATGCAGCAAAATGTCAGCGTGCATCCATATACGCACAGTACCCAGGTAGGAAAGCTTAACTCATTTGTGGAGACAGAAAAGAAATAGAGAACAGAAACCTGCTGATGTGGTAACACTTGTCACATGCTATTAACAGCAGGGCGCAGTTAATTGAGTGTGTTGCATTATCACCTGGCTTTGGACATAATGTCTGCTGCTAAAGTCCAGGCGTAAATGTAGCTGGATCAAGAATCAAAACCTGGGTTATGCCTGTTGCTTCTATTAGGAATTACAGCCTTTGAGTTACAGAGTTGAAGGGCACCACAGGGATCATTTAGTCCGTCTGCCTGCCCCAAGGCAGTCTCAGCTATGTCATTCCTCTCAAATTGTGTTTTTGCTGAAGTCAGCATCTCGTATAGATTTTGAGAGCGGAGGTTCTTGTTTTATTCGAGGCCCAAATCATTCGTCCAGCCTGCAGACTCGGAGTGAAACACTGGGGAGATACTTAGGGAGTAGACAAGAACAATGGGGAGGAAATCCCCTTTCCTACGAGCTGCCTTTTCTCAAGGGCAGGGATAGTCAGTGTGGGGCTTGTACCCATCGCCCATCCCATTTTATTCTGCACACTGGGAAGTAGGCAGGAAAGGGCTGGATCAGCCCCTTCCAAACATCCAACAGAGCACTTGTGACAACTGTCCTCAGCATTGAATCACTTTAGTCTCCAGCATCCATTCCACAAGGTGCTGTACCTGCAGGTGGGCCTCAAAAATGCAACTCATCTGTCTTTGCTCAGCAGGAGAACCCCGTAACAGAGCTCACTGCTAAGAAAGTCCCCTTTCCAGCGAGCCAGCCTTGTGCAGTGTTCAGTGGAAACAACCTTTCCCTTTTAATGTTTCCTTCACAGAGCTGCCTGATTACACTCTTGTCCTGCTGCGTGCCTGCTGTGATCTTCAGGTTGTTCCCGCGTTGTGTTGTTTGGTGAGTAATCAAAATGTGACTGTGTAGCACGCGGGCCCCAGCAGCAGTAATGACTCTGTTCTCTGCCTTACTGTGTTTCTCACCCAATAAAGAAGATGTCAAGCTCCAGTGCGAATTTCAGCTGTAGGCATTGCTGAGGCAAGGTCAGAGTCTGACACTGGCAAACAGTGCAGGTAATTTACTGCAGGTGGATACCTAACTTCTAAAACGTTTCTGTATTTGGGAGATTCCATGGGCTGTGAGCAAAAGAAAAGTGTCACTTAAGCTCGAATTTTAATTTACTAATAGTCTCACTAGCCCATTTTAAAGTCTCAGTAACAGTACTCACCTGCCCTTGAGAAACAGAAATTTCACTTTGATAGCAGCAGTGCTTGGGCCTTGGCAAATTCTGAAGTTCCAAAACTCAGAACTCGTTCATTAAAACTGCTGAAGGAATGGGGCGGGGCTGCCATTCCCTATGAACTTTTTTTAAGCTTGCTGACAAAAATAATAGTAAAAACCTTTAAATATGTGGGGCAAGGGGAATGCTACTGTTTGCTCAGAGTAAGAGTGAGAGTTAAGTGTGATCGGCAGTGAGAGAAGTTGGAGTGGGGAGATGTTTCTCCTTAAAGGGTGCCATAGAGCTTTGGTTCTGGATGAGCGCATCGTACTTGTCAAGGCTAATAGCAAAGGGAATTTTGCCCTTTTGCCACTGCCTGGTAGGCTCTCTGGTGGTTTTGTAAGAAGGAACTGAGCTATGCGATGGCAGGAACAGCACTGCTTGGAAAACCTTTTTAATGTCTCTGTCTTTTGCGCTCTCTCATAAATACAGCCTAACATCGCTTCAGCTGATGGCACCTTGGCGCTGAGCAGTCCTTTGGTGGCTACTCTCACTGACAGAGGAAGATTTGATGTCGTGCAAAGGCTGTTTGCTTCATCAAACATTACTTTGGAAATGACAGTGTCTTCTGTAAAAGCTGTAACTATGAAAGAACCTAGATTCTTCCCACTTGTTCTTTACGTTGCATTGTATGGATTTTATGCTTTAGGTGGGAATGTGTAGGAGCTTTGCTGAGTATCCAGTTACTGCTCTAGCCTGTTCGTTCTTCTGTAGCTCTGCAGTGTAGTGTTGGTGTGTTTGAGCTACCAGTAGAGCCACTCAGTGGAGTACTTACGGCAGTCCAGCCAGGGGTTACGGAGGTCGGGGTGGACTCGGCACGCCTGGGGTGAGCGCTCTGCGCTGCCATCAGGTGTGCTACTGCTCTGCAGTTTCACTAAGGTATGTCTGCAGTGGAAAATTCATAAATAAGGGATGAAGGGGAGGAAGCAAAAAAGACAAGCCTGGAACAGAAATTGAACGTAGCAGTAGAAGCCGAATTGCTTGCATTAATAGCGTGGGAGAAAACTGCAAAGTACAAACTGCTTTTTCTAAGCAAGCAAACAAGCAGGCTGCGGAAATCCAGGGTTCTGCAACGCAGTGAATGTTCTGCTCGTTTAAGACTTGATGTGCAGAATGCCTTCGCTCTGGAGCAAGTGGAATGGAGGGCTCTCAGAGACGTACTTGATTAGGTTTTCATTTATTAAGTGTAGTCTCGCTTTACGGATGTGAACTGCACACTGCAGGAAATAAAAAAACCTCTTTTTCAAAAACTAAGGCCACCTTAGGGATTTATGCCTCTGTACAGCATTTCTGTTTTCTAATAAGTTTTTACTCACCTTAGCAAGTTTCAGCTGTTTAAATTGCATTCTGGACTTTCTCTTTGAGATAGTGATGCCTTTTGGTGTGTGCACGTGAAGCATCCCTGCTGCACTCCACAAAAATGATCATTTTACCCGTATGACATTTTAAGTGCAGATGTTTTGCTTGTTTCTTTGGCTAACAGCAAAGTGTTAGTAAAGCATTTTGTGCTTTGAACTATTTTGCCTTTTTTTCATGGTAATTTTTTGTAATCATGTGAATGGGGCAGAAATGCAGTAGAGATCACAGTAAATACGGGCTTGCGAAGATGATGTTCCAGGTAGGTGGAATATCCGTGCTTTCACATAAGATTGTGAGATGGCTGACAGACAAACAAGCAGGCACCTGCGTGTTTGGGGGGGGCAGTGACCAGTAACCAGGCCCTGCAGCTTAGCTAGTGGGTAGGAGTCTTGGGTCCAGTTTTCTGCTCTGTTCCTGCATCGTCTTGAGCGGATTGTCTGAGAGGTCCTTAAAAACTCACGTCAGTTAAGCTTTCCCTGAGGAAGTGGACTGTGCAGAAAAGCACCGTGGTACCTTTCCATACCCTGGGGGCGCAGGATAGCCTTGCACGCTGAGCTGTTGGCATTTCCGTGTCTCATCTGTTAAATGAAGCTGATGGTGGTGCCTGAACCTTGCACTGGTGTACGTGGAAATGCCCTTTAGGAGGATGGAAGCATGTTGCTCTGCTTCTGGGAGTGATGCGTGTTTGTAAATGGGAAAGTCTTTTGCCAATCACTGCTCAAAAGTTGCCTCTGTAACTAATTTATCAAAACTTTCTATTAAATGTTATGTCAAAACAATAGAACAACTTATGACCTCATGCATGTAATTTCCATTGTTCTTTTTTGGGGGGGGGGGTTCCAGTCATTCCCTTGGCCTTGAAAGATGGTGCACACAGATGGCAAGTGGATATGTGGGCATCCACGTAGCGCCACTGTCCATGCGCTCTGATCTTCCTTGTAGAGTTTTGGTGTAAGCCTTATGTGCACCATATTGCATAACTGCTTTCAGGGTGTGCATGCTATGTCATATATGTAGGAGAGGGGATTCTGAGCGGGGAAAAACCCAACAAACCCTAGGTGTTCTATAGAAACATCATTAAAAAAAGAAAAGGTTTTGTTTGTTTCCTGCTGTTTTGCTTTCAGATGTAGATCAGCCTTTTGCTTCAGCTAAATCCACTGAACAGGTTCAGGCTGAGGAGTATAAAGGTTGCTGACAAAGCCAAGGGGAGGGCACCTGCGGGGCTGGCAGTGTTTGTGGCGCTGGGGAGCCTCAGCAGCTTCACAGCTTGACTGCCAGTGACTGCGGCCAAGGAGGATGAAGGCACCGTACTCTGTTAAAAGCCCCCCGCCTGCAACCCTTAGACAGATGGGAACTCGGGGAAATGTTGCGTGAGGCACCACCATTGCGGGCTGAGTTCATGTGCGATACCCCACCTCCTGTGCAGGCCGAGCAGCCCTGCCCTGCGCCTGAGGTGGGAGCAGGGCAGGGGGCAGGTGCCCAAAAAAGGAGGGGTCGCAGGGGCAGCAGCACCGGGGCCTCTGCTCAGGGGGACAGAGGCAGAAGTTGGGGCAGCCTCGGACTCGCACAACATGAGACACCTGGGCAAACAGTGGTGTGCCCCAGAGACCCCAGGCTTCCTGCCCGTCGTGAAGACTGCTTGGCTCTCTTGGCTCCTCGCCTCACCTGCTGCCATACTTTTAGGACTGATCAGTGTGTCTGCAGCAGCCATTGGCTGCGCTTCAGTCTTGGCTTTGTCCTTTTACGTGCTCTTTGTGGAGGGGTTTCCCAGCTTTCCTCCACTTGGCAGCACTTCTGTGACCACAGAAGCACCTCTAGACCGGCAGGTAGCCTAGGATGGCCTTTTTAGAAGTGAGCGAGCAGCACAGCCGGGGAAAAAAAGAAACACTGAGGCAGTTTATATGTATGTTCATCATTTTCCCTCCAGTTCCTCCTTCTGTGCTTTTGACAGGATCCTTATGCATGTTAGTATTAAAAATAGCTTGGACTGGGGATGTGAAGAGCCAAGGGAACAGCAGAAGCAATACGTCTCTCTCCAAGTAACTTCTGTCCTGCCCTTCCCTAAGCTAAACGAGGATAGCCTCTTCAGGAACCCAGCCTAAGCTGCACTGATCCAAATTAATTCAGAATCCACTTCAGAAGAGCTGGATGTGCATCCACTACCTCTTAGCTGAAAGGGCGATTTCTTGTGACAGGCTGACCTCGTACAGAAAATGCTTTTTCAAGGTTAGATGGGGTCTTCCCCTAGAAGACGGGAGGTGGTAAAAGGGCTGTAGGGTCCTTCAGAGAAGGTTGGAGCTTGTCTCATAAAAGCTTTGATGTCACACCCTGACTTTCCTCCCCAAAACGTTGCTTCCCTTCGCTGTACTTCCCAGTTCCCCAGGAGGAAAGAGGGGAGAAGCCACACCTTGGCAATTCAGAATCAGATCAGGACCAGGGAAGACGAGGTCAGCAGCCTCTTTCCAAAGGGCATGCGCCGTCTCTAGAGGCCAGCAGGCTCGGCCGTGCTGTCGATAACCAGCACTGGCCAATTACAGCGTGGGCCCAGGAGAATGACTCCCTAAACGCTGCCGTGCTCAGAAAATACGGAGCCCAAATTCAGCGATGGCATTTACAGGATGGCTGAAGGGGCCCCAGGAGCTCTAGGCATCGAACGGGGATTCAGCGCGTTCAAGAACATGAAGCTAAACGAGACCAACTGACATGTTGCTTTTCTGAACTTCGAGCGCTAACTGAGGCCCAAACACGCTACAGCAGCGGCGCGGGCGTGCCTGTGAAGCCTGCTGCGCTTAAACCAAGGCAGCACACAGCGCGCAAAGCCCAGTCCGTGCAGACGAGCTGGTCAGCGTAATGTCTGGTACTAGCACGCTAACAGGTTAGTGTACTAGCAGGAGATACTGCCTGTGTTCGTGTGGAGCCAATTTTCAGCAGTAAAGGATCAGGTAAAGATAAAAGGCAGATGAGCGCAGATTGCTTCTTGATAGCATCCTTATTTGGCTAAAATTCAGAGTATGACCAAAAAAATCAGAAAAAAGCTAATAACATTTTTTCAATATTAAATCTTTATTATATACAAAAATATTTTGTTGGGAATTAACAGAATTTCACAATTTGTACATTAACATTTTTATATTTGGCTGTGTTTATTGTGAAAATATTAGCTGTGAAAAAGACAACGGGGGCTTTAGAAAACAAGTCACAATTTAAAAATGTCCTGTGTGTTAGCTGACTTGAATCAATATGAAGTCAGAATGCTAACTAGTCCCAGCTCCTAGGCCTGCTCGACAGTAGTGTAGTCAAATGACAAAAAGGTACTGAATCATCTTCAGGTCTCCATTAGAAAGTTTAGCTAACAAACAGTTAAGGGGTTTTTTTGTAGGATGTTTTCAGCTGAAGAAAGAGTTTGTGGGTTTTTTTTTACAGGAGAGCAGTTTTTAGTGTTTTACAAATGTCAAATCCAGTTTAATTTAATATGCTGTATAAGAAAAAAAAACAACCACGAGAGCTGCCAACGGGCAAAACCAGTTGTGGGAACAAGCAAGGTAAGGAAATGCACGGTAACAGACTTCTAATACACGTTTAAATCCAAACACTTCACCAAGATTTTACAGTTCTTAGCCCGGTTTGGGGTGGCAGAGCGGCAAACTTCCTTGTATTGCAAAACCTAAGGAAGCGGTCCCCCCTTCTTACACCACGGGACACAAGTGTTACACGCAGGCAAGGTATGCTGGGGCGGGGGGGGAAAGGAATGCTCAACATGCATTTTTAAAGGGGGAAAAAGTATATTTCAACAGTTATCCCCATGTATAATTGTGTACAAGACCTAAACCAACAAAAATCAGTCAAAAAAATGATGTTTTGCAGCCAACAATTCTGCTGCCGCCCCCAGAACTGCACAAAGCAGCGCCGTTCATTTTGCTCTACGCTGTGTATCACTTGAGAGGTCAATACAGAGAAGTCGCGGGGGTTTTTGGAAGAGGTTTTATTGTCTTCTCGGTAAACGTTGGCTACTTATGGAGTAACACTTGGATCAGCCGTGAGGACAGCCGGACTTGCACGGACAAGCATTAGCATGGAGCTAATGACATTAAAAGGAAAAGGATCAATGAGAGAAAGCGTTTCCAGGACTACTTTAACTATGTTAGCCGGGCAGGTTGGTCAGGAAGTGCTCCACATCTGACCGCTGCCTTGGCAGCAAAAGGAACTCCATACCCGACTAGCATGAGAAAGGGTTAAAAATATCGAGAGCAAAATTCACATTTTATGAATAAACTACACATTTGTGTAGTTTATTCTATAAAATACAAATATTGCTGAGACCCTGCTTAAAAAAAGAAAAAATTCTATTCGGAGGTGAAACTGCGTAACAGCCTTCACCAAGCTGGAGTTTGTTGTTAAGCCTGTACAGGTCAGTTCCAGCTGCAGTGCCAGCAACGGAACTGAGAATTCAGCAGTTCAGCATGTGACAGTTTGGGGAACGGTATCCCACCCCGGCGAGTTCGGGTACGTTAGCAGATACTGTCTGAATTACTTGCGGTACTTACCCCTATTTTATTTCACGCACGCACATGAGCACACTTTTAATATGTTTGGAAGCAAGAGCCGCTTGGTTATTTTACAAGTGTTTCCACTTTTTTTTTTTTTTAGTATCTGTCTTGGGACTGAAAACAGTAAGTTATACTAGTCTTAAATACCGATGCTTATATTGACCACTAGTTCCTCTACAAGACGCAGGTTGAGAATCCCAGACAATTCCCATCAGTAAGCTTGTTAAAAATACATGAAAACCAAGAAGGGTAGGCGGAAAAAAAGAAACCCAGAGGAAAAAAAAAAAAAAAATAATTGGGCCAGGACTTCACTTCACCACCTTCAGTAGCAACAGTCCACCAGAGAAAGCAAATGAAGGTACCTTTAGCTACAGAAATCCTTTTAAAGGCCCAGGAGAGGTTTTGTGTGGAGACCGACAGCTGGCGGGGTGTTTAAGGCAAGGGGCCTAGCAGACCACAAGTCTGTGTATCCAATAAGCGCTACCCAGACATCGATAAACTGATTTCTCACCACTTTTGCAAAAGTAGGATCGTGAAGTTTGGCAATGACAATACGGTACTTTAACTCTTCAGAATTTGGGCGAGGCAGGAAACCCTGCGTGAAGCAAACAGTCCATATACATTTGCATGATGCAACAGCCCCTCGGCCTGTAGCGTGTCTTAAAGCTGTACCTACAGGCGCAATGAGCGACGGGGAATCAATCTCCTGCAGTAGGCGCCACAGACGTATAGAGAAACAGCTTCTGCCTCAAAGCTCAGTCTGAATGAAGAAGCAAGATCGGTGAAGAGTGGATGGGAAACCAAGGAATAGGTAAAGGAAGTTTGAGTTTGTTCGTGTTCACAGTAATAGCTCGTGTGTAAAGAAAGACGGGCAATCACCCACATCTCCCGATTTCTGGAGCGGTGCTCTACCCCATCATTCTCCACTGGTCCTTAAGCATAACGGAGGCAAGCGTGGCTCCAAAGGGTTCCTAGCCAGGAATTTTCTGTGTTTAAGAGAGAAAAAAGTTTCCTATTTCTTATCTGAATCACCTCCTTCAAAACAAACAAAAACCACATGACTTCCTGAAGACTGAGCTGCAGGCAATTTGTACTGCAAGTCATTTAGGTACAATTTTAGAAGATGCAATGAGTTAGAATTGTACAGAGGACTGGGAAAAAAGTGTCACATTTTGAGCCTATCCGAGGTGTGACAGTTTATATAAACGCAAATTCAAAAACGATGAGCTGATCCGCCATCCTGCTGCACAAAGGTTTGTACGGCTGAGTACAGAGAGCCACGCTGGTCTGAGAACACAGCACAGGTTAAGGATACTGCATTGGTTATACGTTGGATTTCCCTTGCCTATGTCGGTCTGTGATTCTGCTCCAATTTTATCTTCACTTTACATTTGCAGAACATTTTGAAAGACCTTCATAAATCTATGCAAGATGAGACATCCCATTACAATTATCCCACTAAACTTCAATTGACTGCATCTTGTCACATGATGTAGAAACCTAAAGTAGACCGGGTAGCGTAACATTTGGAGACGGCAAGGTAATCGCTCGGGTACACATGCACCGAAGTATTTACACTGAAGTTGAGATTGGTGCGCGCTTCAGGGCATTTTTGGTGCATTTAACGAAATACAACTTATGGATCTTGGCATACTGACTGTACTTTTATGTATAACTTCTCATTCACAGGGCAACTACAGTGTTTCTTCTATTAGTCTCTATATGTACAGAATTTTACAGCACCTCATGCACTGTCCAAAACAGATAGAAATTACAGATAAATATAGAATTTTTAGATTGAAATATCTGTATATTTAGAAAAATATACATTATTAAACACAATAAACCAGGTAGAGCAGTGTACCAGTTCTAAAGTCTCACATGCAGGTACATTTCTGGATTAAGTCATGGTAGCTTAGTCATGTGATAGCAGACGTGAGCATTTTTTGTTTTACCATCCACATACATACATATACACAGAGAACTATTTGATAACTTACTTTTCTAAACTACTTAAATATTTATCTTGTGAGACATACCACATATCTTAAACATTTAGCAGCATCTCCACCTCGCTCAGACACACCTATTGCTATCATTAACAGTCAATGTGAGAAGTTGTCCTGTTTGTTAGTATCTGGAAAATGAATGTTTGGTACAGAATGAGATACATGAAGCCCTAGTTATTTTAACTCCTCCAAAACACTTCAAACAGCTGTTATAGGAAATATTTTCACTTGCTCAAAACCAGCCTTTCACAGTGTCCTTCTCCCCTAATTGCACAACGTACAGGTCACCATCTAACACACACCTGATCTATCACCGCTGTGTAGATGACTGAAGTGGCACCATCATTCTAAGAACCTGCAAGAATGCTCTTTTTAAAAAAAAAGTAACTGTCATTCTCATTCTGGTCATCCTACCAGGTAGTGACAAACTAGGCAGAGTATCTGATGAAAATCTGATTTTGCTAAAAACCCAACCAAACCAAACCAAACCCCACCACCACAAAAACAAACCAACCCCTGCCCCCCCCCCAACATTATATACCTGCCAGTCTGAACTCTCAGTTTTCAAGATCTAACGAATAGATGCAAGGAGTGTGGTGTTTGTTTGGGTTTAGGTGGGGTTTTTTTCCCCTTTAATTGGATGTGGACATCCAATTAAAACCTGCAGACGCTTTGATACGATCTTTGCGTGCGACCTAAGCAAGCCATCTTCTCTCCTTGCTTCAGAATTGTACTTCTCGCTAGCATCTACATTAACACCACCAAACGGTCAGCCGCTGGGCTCCACTCTGCTAACTAACTGCTTGATTTAAAACCACTACGTGAACCTGCAGCGAAAGCTAAAGCTTTAGCAAATACATGGCTATTTGGAGGTTGCTAACTAGGGAGGCTCTTTTGACAGTATTCTCTCTGGGATGGAAACAGATGGAGCAGAGAGGTTTTCCCGACTAAACCTTGGCGCCCGTGTTTCATGTGTTTCATTTGGTTAAGTAAATTTATGGGGAAAAAAGATGAAAATAAGTGATATTTGCAATATAAAGTACTACGGTGTGGAAACTGAAGAATCTTCTCATTCCATTCATTGGGGAAGAGTGAGCTCAGCCCACTTTTGGCATCACAAATAGAGTCTTTTCTAACTCATAATGAAAAGGCATCATATCTGTCCAGATAGCACGTTATTTACAGCATATGTAGGTCTCCTGTTACACAGTATACAAACACAGTTTAGTCACGTTCAGCATATAGTGCCAACAACAAATCATTAAAATAGTCAAGCAATGGCTCCGCTATCGTTGCTGCTACATACAACACTCGATCCGTTTCTCAAAGCAGCCTCTGAGCGGTAGGATCACAGAACATGTCTCCTGGGAACGGAAAATAAAAGTCTCATGCTGCTGCCACATTTAAAAGCTCTGCCAAACGTAAAACAAAACCAGAGAAAACACATCCTGAAAAGTATAACAATGAAACAAAGTAGTGGTACAAGTTTTCCTCAGAGGATTTCAGATTTCCCTCTAAAAGACCGAAATCTCGGTATTAAGAGCCGCAAAGATTACCCGTGCTATACACCGTTTCGACTAACATCTTCCACATACACTGGGATCTCAAGCCGCCCCGCCCCTCTCCCCCCACAACAACCAACTTTATAGGCTCTTTAAAATCACCTGTATACTGGTGGTTTGAGGTTTTTTGAGACTTACGCCTTTCCTATACTGCATCAACTCCATTTTTCTTCTCCTTGTGCACATAAAAGTCTTTAAGAGCCCTAGGAAGCAATACTGTTTTACAGTGCCTAAGCCTCTTTTCCTTCAGAAATAGTTCTGAGGAAGTTGCCTTTTGATAGCATTCCGTGTCACACTTCGGTGTTGAAAAAGAATTCGGAAGCCAGGTGCCTGTCACCAGATGGAAGAGAAATTAATCAAATAATAGATGACTTCAGTTCAGACACCTAGCCCGGTTAAGTGATGGTGAATGTTACTATATACAACAGCTGACATTGTAATATAAAATATGGTCACAAAAAGAGCTAGTCTTGGCGACAAGCTATATTTTCATTTTGTTCTTGTTAAGCAGAAATTTACATCAGCATAAGTTTTGATCGATGAACTCGAACCTAATACGGATCATATCAATGAGCCTACTAAGGGGAGAACTGTCACTAAACAAAAGGAAGTATGTTGTAAAACGAAAAGGTATAAACAACACTGCTTTTTAGCAGTAAGCCTCCAATTCACAAGCTATCTAATGAAAAATGCAATTAAAACCAATGTAACAAAAAGCACAGAAATTCCATTGCATCACACTCATAAAAATACAGCAGTTGATCACACACAAATATTCAAAAAGATAATATAGAACCCAGCTAGATCTCACAGGAAATTAAGCCACAGATCACTACACAAATACCGAACAACGTCCTAAGAAAAGAAAACGCCTTTTTTTTTTTTTTTTTTTTTTTAAAGCAATGTGTTTTCACAAGTGTGAATAAATAGTCTTAAACATTAAGCGTCACTCTACAAGGCTCCACGTTATCAGGTTCTCTCCCAGGCTACTTCACCATTACTCAAATTGCACTGAATGACCTTGTGTACAAGCTTTCTGACGTCAGGATTTCAACCACAATGGGCTAACAGGTTGGCCCCCAAGAACAGCCTAATAAGCAGCTTGCAAGGTGTTGCTTTACGTTATTTCAAGAGACACGTATAAGGAAGGAAACCTACACAACAGTTGTCTAAATCAAGAGACATCAAGAATTTGTGAAACACCAAGAATGCACCAACATTAAGCCGAAAGAAGCTGGAGCAATGGAGCTGTGTGTTGGTCGCTGCTTTTAATATTTTAAATTCTGCTCCCATGAAATTACTGGTTTTTTAAGGAAGAAAAAAAAAACACCAAAGAAATTAGTGTTCTTCCCTAATAAGAGCTATAGACTTTTGACCGGTTAAACACTGACGTTAACAAGTTTTACAAAAATTGTTTCAAGTATCCTTTTTTTAATCACAGTGAAAATGTAAGACCAAGATGTAAATGTTGAAGTGAATGACTGAAAGTTTCTTAGATGAAAAAGGCAAAGGTACTAAATCAAAACATACAAAAATGCTTAAACGCATTTCCTTCATGTGATATGAATAGAAAGGTTATCTGTAAAAAGTTAGAAAAATTAAAATAAATTACATATTTAAGTACACTTTCCCTTCAACATTTTTATAAAAATTCAGAATAGTGTACTTTTGAATATACAGAGAGTAAAAATGCACAGGTGCTGTAGGTTATCATCGGTATCTACACGTCACATTAGCATATTCACTGCAGTTGATTTTATTTGTTACTTAAGCTCCTCTTGAGAAATCTCAATATACCCAGCTAATTGGGACCCACTGCGGTTCCAGCCTCAGTCTCTCGATAGCAGTCTGTAGCTTCTCGAAGGCTTTGTCCAGGTTGTCATTTACAATGGTCAGATCAAAATAGTGGTTGTATGCTCTCTGGATCCGTGCACTTTCATCCACCGTTTTTTTCAAATCGGTGTCCTGTTGAAGAGGTTTTAAAGATTACTAAGAACGTAAGACTTGGCAAATCCTTATAAATACAGAAGAAGTAGCCCTTCGTTACATCCTGCAACTATTTAAAGCTAATACTGAATATATTTTTAAAAAACGATGAAGTTTTCATTTATAGTATTACTTAAGCTAAAATGCATTGAAAGGGCTGAAAATGTTACGAGCTGTGCCAATAATGTTAAATATGGCAACCAAATGTTTGCAAATCTTGCAATTTTTAAGAAAGTCAATAGAAGCACATGAACCTGGGCTGGTATGCACAATGGGCAGTTAATTATTTTGTACGTGCAGCTGACGATCTGATCAGCACAAAATTAATCCTTTAGGAATGACTGAGTCAATCACTTGTGTAAATATATTTGTGCCCTTTTTTATTTCCACAGAAAGCACCAAAAAAATCCAAGAATTTAAATTAGTATGAAATGAAAGACAATGAAAGATACATTTCCAGTAGACTAAAGCTCTAGAATACCTTAGTGCTTTTAGAGGCTACATTTCAGCCTTGCTCACCTGACATCAGTTCCTCATTTGTAAACTACTGCTGCATTATTTTAGTTCTGATATGAGCTGCAAAATATGCAGGAAATTTATATTCCTATATTATGAAGCCTTCACGAAGTGCTGCCACTGAGCATTTTTTTACGTTTCATTAGTCCTGCATTCTTAGAAAATTCCCCTCCACTTCTGCACAAAAGCAATTTTTTTGGAAGCAGTTATGAGATTTGTCCGCTTGACAATATTTGTTTTAATGTTTTTAAGTCCTGATACAGTTGTAAATGCAAAAGCCAAAATGAAAAAAGTAGATGAAGGAGACAAGCAAATGTAGCACCACAAGAGCCAGAATTTTTGCAATGGAATGGCTTAGGATGCTAGAAATAATGTAGACCGACCCACTAGCAAGCAGAACATAATACTTCAAGCAACATTTGTTTTTCATTTGTTCAGGAAGTACAAGAATATGAAATGGGAAATCCTACTTTTTATATACACGTGCACAGATACGATTTAGAATCCATAAAGATATATAAATGTATATTTTAAATGTAACTATCCTCTTTATTATTCATAAGGACAAGTAAAACAAAGGCAAGGATGTCACTTAGGGAATCGAATACTAGGAAGTGCAGGAAATTATTTTTATATTTGTCTGGACAGTTTTAACCTTGCCTTCTTGTATATGCATCACAAAATTCAGGGTTCATTTGGGGCAGGGAGGAGGAAAGGCAGAGCACCCACGGAGATACTAGAATCTATAATAACCAGAATCCGGGACTAGGACTGGACAGTCTCTCACGTGGTTAAGAGAATGGGATCTCACAGGTTTGAAAAGAAGAAAAAAGACTAAAAATCCCATAGTCATTTCATGGAAATTAACCCGTCTCCCATTTTACTGCTTTGAATGCCCTGTCAGCATTATGCAAGGTATTGCTACTATCTAAGCTGCAGCAGCATTGTTGTGAGTTGTCAGCAAACCACGCTTTTCTCAGATGGGGAAGTTGTGCTGCTGAACACAGAGGATAGTTTTCTTAACTGCTCAATCTGGCTTTTTTTGCTTTGGTCCTGCAGCTGGGAAAGTTCATGCCCATACAGAATATTTATAATTTGCTGCCCTGGAGGAAGCATGTCTCATTTCCCTCTGCTACACGCTGGGTCTCAGAAAAGGAGAGAAGATCTAATGAATAAAACGTGCCACTTTGCTTTACATGACAAATGCGAGGAACTTAAGGGGAAGAGAAGCCATTCAACACTTATTCTGGCAGCCCCCAGCCATTCTCAGTGCAGCATGTGCTGCTGCAGCACTGGAAACAAGGCCTAGTTGCAGTCTGTTGTTGCTTGGTTGGTTGTGCATTTGTTTGTTTGTTTGTTTTTTTACGCAGACTGCAATATCTTTCCGAAGGATTACAGATTCCATTTTTAAAGCGCACCTATATTATAAGACAAACGTGAACAAAACTTTTTGGGGGGAGAGATGGGGAAAGTGAAGAAAAGACATTTACATAAAAGAACAATTCCCACCATCAGATATCTACTACCACTTGCTGCAAATAATCAAGGGTGACACTTCCCCAAGAACACATTACAAGTAATTTTTGTAATCAACACTTCTCTGTAAGAGGTCTATTTTTAAGAAAGAAGCAATCTGCCTTATACATAGTATTTGATTAACACTAAGTAATCAGCAAAAGTCTTGCCTAACTCTTCTTAGAGACATTACTTTCAGAACAAATTCCATCTAAAATGGAAGGTTAAAAAAAAATAAAAATCTAAGAACATCCTGTTCAAAGCAAACTAAGTATGACATAATCTGCTTACAGTGAGAAGTTTGGTTGTAATTCCAGCATCTACCACAGCCTTGTGCATAGCACGCAAAGTCTCCAACTCTGGAGCAGCAATAAACACTACATAGGGCATGAATTCTGAAGTCCTCAGTATTTTCAGGGCCTAGAAGCAAAGCAAAAGAAAAAAAAAACCCTAAGTTTGAGAATGACTCACCACGTGTCCCCATTACTTAAGGGGCACTGCAAAACTCATCTGTTACCATGGGCAGAAACACAGAAGTGAAGATTCTTATTTCTATTTTAGAAACTCCTACACTGCCTTTTGAAATGCCCAACATCATTCTTTCCTTGGCTAAGAAGATTATTTACTACTCTGCAAGACTCCTCTTCCATGCAGAATCTAAGTTGGGTTTTTTTCCCACCTTTCTAACTCATTCCAACTAAGTGCCACAAATGCAAGAATCCAGCTGGTATTGTAATCTTTAAACCAGATAAGAAGCCTTCAAATTTAAAGGCATACCTCTTCAACATTACACTCCTACACTTGTAGTGTGACACTGTAAATGATATACCTGTGGATTCACGTCCAAGATGCAGGTCCTTCCTGTCTGAACAACTTCAAGGATGGAATCAATTTTGGTGCCGTAGAGATTTCCTTCATATTCTCCATGCTCTAAATACCTGCCAGCTTTAATATCCATCTCCATTTCAGCTCGTGACACAAATCTGTACGCTTGCCCATCCTTTTCATCATCCCTTGGCTTTCGTGAAGTAACTAAACAAAAAGTTTAAAATATAAATGGAATGTTTTCTTTTTATATTTGGAATACAAATATGAGACTGGACTGCCTATTAGGTTAGGGAGAGTATAATACACATTAATATACAATTATAATTGTTCCATATACAGATTAATTATTTTTTCTAGTGTAAGTTTCAAAACTGAGCACAGCCGCTCCTCTTCCCTTTATTTCTATTTTCCTATACGTTGCTTACCCACCCATTTGCTTATTTACTTTGTATTACTCCTTCACACCATGCACAACACTCATTCATCTCATCTTTTTAATTATCCACTTAATAAAATAATTATTTAAATGACTTGGAAATCAAATGGAAATTTAACTCTCAAATGCCAAATGTACTTCTGAAAATAACCGAGCACACATCGGAATCTGCCCGGCCCTGCCCCCCAAACCTTAGCACATACTTTGCTCACTGTATTTGCCCTGTTATTCTGGGTAGAATTACCTGAGCTAGCTATAGAGAAAGTTAGCTTAAATATCAGAAGAAGCTGAGCCACCGCAGCAGAATCTTAGTGGAGGCCAGCTAACGCTGCTTTCCCGGACAACTTACCCTTTAAAGCTAGGTAAATTCACTGCAGAGAGATTAAAGCCAATATTTAACTAAAACATTGGCAGCCACCTTGGGTGTTGGCTACACTGTGCAGTAGAGACATTATTTAAGCAAGAAAGTGAAAATAAAATAAAATGAAATAAAATAAAATACCAGATTATTACTGAATTTGCCGTCCTATCACCATATTACCTGCCCACTACTTGCATTTAATTAGATTTGAACTCTAGGATATATTAAACGTAACAGTGAATGGATCCCTTTGGTAATACTTGTATCACTACTTGGTGCCATACCACCGCTCAGCGAGGAGAATAATAATGTAGCTAGGGTGGACTTCTCTGGTCAGCAGTCAAACGGGAGGGGGCAGTTAAAAAAAATAAAGATCTTGCGAATGAGCAAAGTGACTATCTGGAAGGAAGGCAAGAAAACAATACGTCAGTAAGGGAGGAGGGTTTTTTCTGAAGTTGATAGGGAGAAAAAAAGGAAGATCGTGGGCTTGAGGCTAGATGTATTAAAATATCAGATTATCATACAAATCTTGGAGATCACAAACACCAGTTTTATTGGAAGTTTGTTGCTTTTCCCTAAAAAAAAAATAATACTAAAGTAACAATTTATAATGCCTATGGTGCTTCTAGAGATGGAAAAATAAACGGCAGAACTAGAAACTCTACTGGCTGTTCATTACAAAAGACTACTAGGAACTTCGAGAATCCCCTCAGTAACTGATGGTGACCGACACTGAAGAAACGTAACAGACTGAAATACTGCACATACAAAAATTGTTTTTCTGCAGCATCAGTAACATTTAACTGCTAGTTACAAATATTTTCACTGTCATCATGTTAGTCCAGTTGTCTGAGAAGATGAAGAACCTTTTGTTTTCCCATTCTATATAATTTTTATACTCTGACAAAATTAGCCCTACCCTAAATCACTGCGATAAACATCAGGTATTTTCCTGACAATCAGAGACTCAAAGTATGATATTACAATAGGAATGCTGACAACTTACATGGCACTGTAGTTCCAAACCTAGTAGGATTCAGTACTATGAACCTGTTCTTCAAACTTCTTCGTCCCACTCCTTGGGCCCCAATTAAGACCAGTGTTTTCCTCTGAAAAGGAGGCATTTTGGCTACTTCCTCATAGATCTGGATTTCATGACGGTCAAATTCTACATTGAGAAGTGTACAAAAAATAGTTAATACACAGTCAGTACAGTAAGAAAGAAAAAACGTAGGCAGTCCTGCTACGTATCAACAGACCACATGTGAATATAAATAGTACTCAAAGGGCATTAAGTCTGATACAAGCTTTCTTGCTTTAAATTGGTATGGGAATAAAATAGTTACCCCTTCATGGACAGCATAAGGTCAGATTATTACCTTTACTTCCAAGGAGAAAATTCAAGATTGATCAGAATGGGAAAACTGTGATTAACAATTAGTGAGTTTTCACAGAATCCCAGAATGGTTGAGGTTGGAAGGCGCCTCTGGAGGTCATCTGGTCCAACCTCCCTGCTCAGCCAGGGCCACCTGGAGATGGTTGCTCAGGGCCACGTCCAAACGGGTGTTGAATATCTTCAAGGAGGGAGACTCCACAACCTCTCTGGGCAAACTGCGCCAGTGCTCAGTCACCCTCACAGTGGAAAAAATGTTTCCTGATGTTCAGAGGGAACCTCCTGTGTTGTTACTTGTTGCCTCTGGTCCTGTCACTGGGCTCCTCTGAAAAGAGCCTGGCTCCGTCCTCTTTCCACCCTCCCTTCAGGTATTCATACACATTGATGAGATCTCCCCCTGAGCCTTCTCTTCTCCAGGCTGAACAGTCCCAGCTCTCTCAGCCTTTCCTTATAGGAGAGGTGCTCCAGTCCCTTCATCATCTTCGTATGTCCGTATCTCTCTTGCACTGGGGAGGAGCCCAGTACCCTTCAGGTGTGGCCCCACCAGTGCTGAGTAGAGATATCCCTCAAACTGCTGGCAACAAAACTTTCACTTTTCTTCTCTTTTAACACAAAGTTCTTCTCTGACTTCCACCTACCAAAGATGTACTCAGCACCACCATATCTTCACTGGTCACTATTGCTTTTAAACCACAAGAACTATCTGATCTATTAAATTTATATCAAATATTTTACTGCAAATCTTTCAGCTTTGGATACACTAGACTCTGCAAGTTTAGAAGCCTAGAGAACATTTGATTCATATATAATATTAAGAGATACCTGCATTTCTTGTAGTGAGATACATCATCTTTTTCTTTTTTTTGCTGCTTATTGTTCCGCAGAAAGGCCCTAGAAATAAAAATTGAGACAAACTCATCATTTTTGTTAAATGTGTTTTCCCAAAGCTTATTTACATGAACATATGCAAGTTTAGATTAATTAAATTTACAAGGACTATTTTAGAATTGTATATATTCTAGGGCAGGAGATCACATCTATTTTCATACACATCAAATGGCATAGTAAAAACCGAACACAGAGAAAAAATTTATTTTCCTAGAAAGCTTTGTATAAAGCAGAGAAAAATCCATTAAACATGTTTAATTTATTACCTTTCAGTGCATACTATAAAAACACAATTAAAAAAAAGAAAAGAGCTAATTCTTATGCCCTTCCCACCTCATTTAGCTTTTCATCAGCAGGTGGCAAAACTGATTCACGTATCTATGAAGACTAAAGATAGACTTTAGCCTTTGTCCTTCAGTCAATGCCAAAATACAATAATTAGCATTTTGCAATATTCTGTGTATTCTCACACAGCAGTTTTCTAGTATCTGTGAAGGCAGGAAAAGCAAAACAAATGGGGTCAGAGCAAAATCTGTTCCTGAAATTCATTGAATCTCACCTGAGTTGTCCCAGTCCCTCCTAACAAAGGCCTTTCTCTTCTCTTCCAGGAACTGGCTAGGAATAAGCCCTGCACTTCCTCCTTCTTTGACATGACTAGCCTGGAAAAAGAAAAAATAAAAGTCATAGGTAACTTGTGAGAAGCATTTTTCTGATCCATATGGTATTGACTGACTTTCACACTGCCAGAGTTTCTCAATGGTGAGTATCGATACATTTACTACCGAGACTTGGAAATTCAAACTCACACGTGGATATTAAAATTCTGTCTTACAGTAACAGTGTCTTGCCATTGAGTATTAAAATTCAGGAAACTTAAATAAAATAGATAGAAGTTTCATTACTGGTTGCCATTAAGTTAGTAAGCTCTCATAGCCATAAACTTTCGGCATCAAAATCCTAAATGGAATTCTATGGCTCCAGACATTGAACTCTCAAGTGACAAAACTCGAGACTTTCTAGTACACAAGTACACTTATTTTGTATTCTTGAGCTGCTCCAAACAGGTTCCAGTGCAGCTTATTAACTCTCATTTCACAAAAAGTGAATGCCATTAACACATGCCTAATCATGCCTTCAGCTTTTTGCACTAAGTAACTACAGATTTAAAATCTTAGTAACTTAAGTATTCCTGGTAATGAATGTTTGGCTAAGATACTCCGTAAAATAATTTCATGGCAAGCTCAATTCTCAGCAAGCTTAACACATACAAACACACAATTGCAAAATGTTACACTTTTCTTCTCCATAACCGATTGGCCTGTCTCTTGCTAACAGGAACTGTTTGCTTTCCAGCTTGTATGCTTTTACCTATGACTAACTGATTTTTTACAGTGAGCAAGTTTTCAATTACAGGCTAGCATTTCTAGAAAGCACAAGGGAAAACTAACAGTGGCATGATCTGCATAGCAACACTTGCAACACACTGTGCTGGTTTAATGCATTTCATTTTTACCACTGATCGAGTGTTTAAGATTTAGCATTTATTTCTCCTGGACTCCCACAAGTTACAAGCTGCAGAATTTGAAAAGCAATAGAGAAGACAGCACGTAAGCTAAATGTCAAACTACTCCGGAGTTTTGGAGTGTCTAACTTCTGAAACTCATTAACTAAATTTTCTGCCTTCCCTCACACTTTTTACTCTCTCTCTTTTTGTTATTACTGTCACTGACAAGCAACAGAATTCAGCAACAGTTGTTGATGTATATTCAAATATTTTTGTTGCTTTTAAAGAAGTCATACATACATTGCTCTCAAGTAACGTTTGGCTCACTATTGCTTGTTATCTAGCAAAGGGTGAGCGATTTAGGAGTGGAAAGGGAAACTAATAAAGCTAAACTCTTTGCCTAGATCGCCACGGCTACTTGCAATTTTGAGTATCTCAGTTGAGAAAAGTGTCTTGAAGGTTCACTCATCCCACTTTCAAAGGCACTGATGATGTTTAATTGTGTGTATAGTGTCTTGAAAAAATAAAAATAGCATAAGCCCTGGATTACATTTCTACTGAAGGACTGAATGTAGAAATACAACCTTAAAGCAGGATGAACTGTTAAGATTTGAAATAGTGCCAAACACTTTGATTATGAACATGCATGTTACAGCTCACAGACATGGACCACCACTGTGGAAATAAAAGATACAGCTTCTCCAAATAGCTATTCTCACCCCTCTTCAAATCCACAGGGTTAATTTCCCTCTCTCTCCTCAACTCTGAGCACTCAGGAAGGAGTCCACTTCTTCCACAGTCGCTGTCAGGGAAGACTTACCACAGTTAACATAGTCAACCTAAGATTTTCTGCTAAAAGTTGTCCACTTAAACTGATTTTGGAATGTCTAGGCTTACGATACAAGAACAAAGACAAATAAACAGTAGTAATAGCAAAATGAGTGTTACACATACAATTTATACCATTCAACTTTCTCTAGTATTTAAATTGTTAATATCTTGGTATTAGCTTGAAATTAGATTGCAGTGTAAATATTTTTTTCTTATATCTACTGTTAAATGGAAGTAGATCATAATTTAAAGAGTTGGCAACTAGTGAGGCTTTTCAGATTTTATTTTACATTTTTAATCTTTTTACCAACCTGCCACCAATTTGGATCTTCCCGGTTTACAATCTGAAGGATTTCTCCTTTAGAAAATTTCAAACCTGCTTCTTTGCATGGGATGAGGTTGTCGTTATATGGATTATAATCAAAATGACACTTCACAAAAACCTGAAATGTGTAAAAATTCACAAAGCTTAAACTTTATAAAACACATTCTTACTAATTTATCTGTCAAACTGAAGTAATGTCTTTACCTACAGCATAAAAAGCGTGACACGAAAAGTTTCACAACTTGCATTTGGCAAGTAAAATACAATCTAGGGAAAAAACTGACATATACCAGCTGAGAGAGTAGAAATAATCAGCAGTGCAAACCTTGGCTGAAGGAGCTTCACGATAAAAATAAAAAGCCAACTGTTCTGTTTGGACAATGTATTACAAAACACTCATTTTTGCCTTTCAGTATATACAACTCAATTAGTATTCTGACTTTAAATTACTTAACAATATAAAAAATTCTCAGACCGTGAGCACTGTATTCAAGGCTTGTGGAATCTTAAGAATTAATTTTGCCATGAACTCAATGTTTTAAAACAAACAAGACATGTGACGGCTTAAGACTCAAATTTGACGCAGGGGAAGAAACAATAAGTTGCATCAGTAGACTGGAAACATCTTTGACTTTTTTCTACCAGGTTGGGGAGCAAAGGAAGCAGTGCACCCGCCTCAAATACAGCACATTCCCTCAGCATCTACTCAATGTACACATAGTCTGTTATAGTCACGGGCATTAAGACCCACTACCTGAAGGAGTGTCTTACAAGATGTTTCAAATGCACTGATTTAGAGCAACAAGTTACTTCTGCAGTGGAGAAATCGACAGCCTACAGCAACAACAAAAGGATAAGGAATAGCCACCATCCAAGTTCCTACTCAGGTCAGTGAGTTCAAGCTCATCTGTTGAATTCAGTATGTTTCTGAATCCTCTGAAACAGATTACTTGGACACTGATCATGTTACAAACACATGCAGTTCACTGCAGTTCAGTGTGATCGTAGCTAGGTCATCCGAGGTCACTGGATGGCAAAGAAACATGCTTTATATGTAGTATACAAATGCTTATCAATCTTTGATACTAATTACAATTTTTTAGGCAGGCATATTAGGTGTGGTATTAATCTACTGAATAAACCCTTTTCCAAAACGTACTTAAAGGTGAATATAGGCATCTACGTTTTAGCCTTCCTTCTAGCATTAAATACACAAAATAATCAAAATATGTCTAATCCAAAATCTTAAAATAATCTTATGCGATGAAGTACCAAGCAGAAGTTCTTTTGACAGAACTGTCAGAAATGTGCTACTGACCTGTTGAGGAATAACAGTGTCTCTGTAGCTGGGGAGAATCTTCAGAGTGACGCTGCCACTAATATTCTTCAGCAGTTCCTGCAATTCTTTTGGATTATTTCCAACCTCATGGCCATTCACCTCTTTAATAATGTCACCTACGTGCAGAAGACCTTGTCGATCTATCATTCCTCCATGAAGAATTCGTGCTATTACCAGATCATTGTTCTCAACTCTAAACGTAACACCCTGAAAGAGGTATGTGACACGTAGTTTACCATTGTTTAAATTTCATTTTACCATTACCTCAAGCAAAAATAATACAGCTATGGGATATTCTATCTACCCCAATGAAGAGAGACAATAATAGTTACTACAGTGTAAGAGTTCCTAATAAACAGATAAGCATCAGGTGACACAAAAGTGCTTTCAGACAAGGTTTTCATACGACCGAACAATGACTGTCTTGTTCTTGATTGCATGCAATCCTGTCATTTTGTATCAGGACCAAACAGATGTTGTGTTAGTCAGTTATGCTAGCAAGTCATTCAGCCTAGTGACTGCCTATTCACTATCCCATAATTTCTTAAAGAGAATGGGATGGAGAACACACAAATATACTCTTATTTCAACCTCTCAATACTGATCCTCTCACCCATTAAATTACACAACATAATAATGAAAAGAATTAAGATGTAATGCAAGACATTAGGCACATGCGAATGCTTTCACTCGCACTTTAAATTAAAGACACACTCGTCTTCACTTACTTACCAGTGGTTCTCCTGCTCTTTTGTGAATTCCAAGAATACGAATAGCATCCACTGGAATGATCTGGTTGTTAACTGAAGAATTATTGACTTCTGGGCTAGAAGGAGGGGAATCGTAACATTTTGAAGCCACAATATCATGTGCTTCCAAGAGTGACTGTGAAGAAACAGAAAAAGCCTTTTTTAAATCATGAAATAACCATTTACAAAAGGATTTAGTGCTGAATAACCACTGAAACTGCCCTTTTGGGACCGGATCTTAACACTCTTACTCACATGGAACGGAGAAAAAATTCACTTTCATGTTTGTATGAAATACAAGTGCTCACATGGCCCGATAAGCCTACTGTCTTGGCAAATATGCTCTCTTTTGTAAATACAAATGCTGCTTCTTAAGGAGGAACAGGAGAAATTTAATGAATTTGCAGGGAAGAAGATGGAAAAAGGAGCACCTAAAATAGTCTTTCACCTAATGAGACAATATCTGAGCAAATGTTTAAAGTAAACGAACAACCCACTGCAAAAAAAATGAAGATAACTCATCTTTAGATACTTGCGTCTAATGTAATAAAATTTTCCTCCACAGTAATTTGGAAGTAACTGTAAATTAAAGATAATTACCGGTATGCAAGGATATCTAGCAATCTGCAGAATGAGTGCTTTCTGCTTGCATAAAGCCAAGGCAGAATTCTAGCGCCAAATGAATCCAAATTGACAGAATTCACTTTTTGGAAGACAAGAGCTCAGACCTTATAGTTAATGGTGTTTCACCAGTCTACATACGTAAGTACAAACCAAAAGGAAGAGACACAAATAAATATAATCATCTTTGGAAGACAATGCAATTTAGACTTAATTTTCTCGTAAAAGATACTTTAAGATTTAAAGAAAGTATTTATAAGACAATACATACAGGTAAAACAAGATCAAACTTGTGAAATTAGACAGTGGAGACTTTCCATCTTAAAGAGGAAAAGGGACACCCTGTAACCACCGCATACGGTAGTTCAAGATAAAGCAGCCTGTAGCAAAGTCTCACTGACACATACAGGAAGGGGGAAAAAAGCAAGTAGAGGAAATGCCTACAGGCCCCAACCAACATAGCTTTGTTTCAAACAGCGACCTCATGAGATATGGTCTTAAGTTAGATCACTGATTGGTGTCAAATACGTAGCTAAAGAGAAGACACCGAGGACAGGACATCATAGGGATTATCATTGGCAGTGACACGCACATGCCAGAGGAAGACAGCAAACTACTAGAAAGTAGAGCTGGTGAGCAGGTGACATTTAAGCAAATTTAACAATTTTGCTATGCAGCCTGCTCCATTCTTCTGTAAGTCACCTCTAACCTAAAAGTTGTGCAACCCTATTAGTTCGGTGCTAAGCTCAACATGCAAGCCCTCAAAGTGTCACAAATCTGAACAGTCATTTTAATCTGCCTGTTACACGATGACCCTGCTGATACTTCAACTTGAGGTTAGAAGGAGGTTCTAATTCACTGATTCTGTCCCTGCCACTAAGACTGTAAAGACAGCTGCTTATTGTGGCTGCTCTTGATACTGTGGACAGAAACCAAATCAAATTAAATAGTAAAAACAATCATTTATTTAAATCAAGCAGCTGTCTGATGATAGCAATTTCTAATTCTTCATTATCCAAGGCACATCCAATCCAGAAACCAGGAGAACAGATCTCTGTTTCCCAATGTTTGCAAGCAACATTTTTGGATCTTTCTACATTTCCAAAATGAAACCAACTAGTATCAACTACACATTTTAACACATTACCACTGACAAAACCAGGCAGATGCACCAGTTTTCTCTTTTGGTCACATGCTAGAACAAACGGTTCCCAAACTTTCTGGCCACAAACCACTAGATTTCTCATGGAGCCTTACAAATAACCATGCTTGTACAGCTCCCTGCCCTTAACAATTATATAATTTATGGATTATAATCTGATCCACAGTCAAAAAACACTACTAAGCAAACAGTCTGTGCCATCCTTTGCAAATTAACACGGTCTGAAAGATTCTTCAGTTCTTAAATCTGATCCCATCATCCACATTCTGATCCTATTCATTCACTCAGTTTCATGGATAAGCATGAATTCTTTTGACTGCTACTTAACCATCTCTCAATCACAAAATCTTTTTCCTGCTATTTACGTGATGGCTGAGTTACAGAAGGACTATCAGGGACTGTACATTGCTGCCCACAATTATAAAATGGTTTCTTTAAGAAAAGTAGTTTCTTGGTTTCCTTAAAACAAGCCACAGTTAATTTATTACCTTCCCATACCTAACTCTCAGTTCTGAAAGTCAAGAATCTATACCAGTTTTATGAGACTGTTTCCAGCCAGCCAGATGACGGCATACAGTCCTGAAGAACACTTAAACAAAGCCACCTGGCAACAGGGGCCATGTGTCTGTATCCACCGTCGGACTACTCTTCAACATTTTATGTCGCTCTCAGTTACTTTCTTATTTCAGTAATGTGGTTGAGTGATCTGAGAAATACAGTTGCATGAAATTCACTTGTTTCTTTCTTATGGTATCGGAAGAAGTGATATCCTGTGCTTCTGCAACTCCAGAGCTCTGCTGGAATCTGACCTTTCCCATACGGGTGCTAGAACACTTATAAAACCACTGCCAAAGTCTGCAAAACAACATGGACTGAATAATCAACAGCTATAAAGCGGTTCAAAGTTTCCTCCATACCGCATATGTAAACAGGACCAGCTGACTATCCACGACCAGGTAACTGTAGAAAGGTTCTCATGATAAAAATGGCAATGTTGCTGGAATAAGGCATTTAGAAGAACTCTCTGTGTATCACAAGAGACATCGCACAATGGACATACAGTCCTGTGGCAGACAGTATGGCCCCTTTGTGCAAGATACTGTCATAAAGTAATCCATAAACTTAGAACATACCGACTTTTTTACAGTAGTTTTCTGTGGCTGTACTTATTTGACAGGTTAAAAAAAATTTTTAAAAAAGTAATTAAAAATTCAGTAAACAAGGAAACATAAAACATCCAAGGCTCTCTACAGTGCTGAAGCCAAGGTCAAATTCAAAATTTGTTTTTCCCCAAAAAATTCTCAGCACAATCTATACAATTTATGAAGCATTGCCTGCTCTATATGATAACTATTTCCCCAATTGTGATCCAATAGAACAATTAAATTACAAATTGGGGGCTGGGAGTGGGGGGTATACACAAGAGCAGAACAACTCTATGGTCTTGAATTTAGGACTCCTTTCCTAACACTTCAGGCCTCAGAAGTACTGAAAATATTCCCATTCCTCTTTTATGCACTAAATATGTGCTAGTCTTCTCTGATAACGCTGTTTAAAAATTAGAACTTAATAAATGGACCACAGGCCCCTAATGTATGTGTGAAAAGGAGAGATTTTTAAAGGCTGTTCTGGAAAAGTGAGGAAATAATTTAAGATCTTAAAGAAATCAGGGGGGCTGGCAAGGAGGCATGAATATGTGGGAAAAATAACCCTATAAATTACATCTGCCTAGGAGGCAACTTAAGATCACTTTTCTAAATGAAACATTTTAAAGATATGATTAGCAATTATAAAACTAACTATTAGAAGAAAATATCGGCTGCTTTTCAGATTAAGTGTTTTATTGCCAGCAGAATCTACTATTTAGGATGAATGGCTTGCATAATTCTTGGAAAGATGAAAATAACTGAACAAGTTCTTCCGTAAGCAGCAGAAGTGATTCTTCTGCATGTTTAACCACTCCAATGGTGTGATATTTTCAACTCCTCCCTCTTCCCTCAAGGCAACGTCTCCTACCACTCCTCTCTTCTGCTCTCCAGCTACTGTCTGGCAAGACCTGCTATAGCCTTTTCTACGCACTGCATGTGCCAGCTGGCTCTTCAATACATACTGGCCTGATGGCCAGCCATCAATACTGTGAAACTCATAAGAACTTAGTATCTTCCACACTTTGAACGCTGAAAAGTTTAGTTAAAACTAAAAGGGGTAAAAAGTGGAAGGGAAGAAAAAGAAAGGAATGAAAGGAGAAGAGAGAAAAGAGAGGGAACATACAGTCAAACTTAATAGTGTAACCATACATGCACCTGTACTCCATAAGCCAGTCTGTCCCCACTGTATCTTCTGTAAAAATGTCTAAAAGAAATGAAGTTCTGTAACTCGGTAGTTTCAGCACTAAATGATACATTCAAATAAGCTATGGCACTGATGACTTGTATATCACATTTGATACTTGTATGCTGAGGCAGGTTACAACTGTAAGATGACACTGTGATAAAGTGGCACCATTCATTTGTAAAGTACAGAATCAGCCTCTAAAACAGTTATACAATAGTGTCCACGAAACTACAAGAGTCAAGTCAAGGTGGCTTGTTTACACATTTACTGAACTGGAGAAAGGATGCAAATTACATTTTCTATAATTACAAATGACATTGTATTTTTCCTTTCTTCCTTAGGGGTCCCTTCTTGTGGAATTTGGAATATGCCTCCTTGCACCAAATGAGGCAGAAAGGATAGCACTTATTTCCCGAGTATTTAGTTAATTTTCTGTTTCCTTTCCAGAGAGGGAGATATATAGCCTCCCCAAGCCTTAGAAAGAATATTGTATCCACATTTTGGTCTGCAAATTTTCCTAGAAGCTCTTCTAGAGTGGTCATAACTATAACATCAGTTAAATAAAAACACTTAATCAAAATAATACGACTTTGGCCTCAGTTGTCTTTGTGGCCTGCCTCCAGATGGAGAATGGAAGCACAAAATTAAGGGCCAAAAAATACACCCTAATTTTAGGCCCCCAAACTGAATCACATCAGATCTACTTTTAAAAAGTAAGTAGCTAGCTGCTTTTTGCGTGTACGCAGTATCCAAAACTGTTCATTGTTTCTGCAAATGCGACTGAAGGCCTCACAACAGGCACTTAGAAAATTTAAAAAAAAATACAAGTTAAAGCTGCTTCAGACTTTATTTTTTTTTTAAATGAACTCTAATTCTGACAGAGTGAAGGATAGGTTAGTTCTCCAGGGCAGCATTTAACTATCTTAACCATCAAATAGTCTTTTCTCTTCCTTTCGTACCTAATTTTTTCTGTACTATCCAGGCTTTGCAGCAAATGAAGTAGGGAGCTCTAGTAATAGCTTATTTGTCTTATACACCCATGAGTCACTCAACAGTATAGTGAAAGAAGCAGAAGATTCTTTGCCCAGTTGGTCTCTGGTCTTTGCCATCTCTCTTCAGAGATCATCGCTACAGTGCCTTTCAGAGTCAGTCTACTCCAGCAAGTCCTTTTCATCTTTTGATTCATCCTCTTCAATTTGTCAGCTTTAGTTTCTCTATCTAACACAATGGATCAGGTCTGTCACTGCACCAGTTGGCCCCCAATTCCAATCTTTTTGCATTGTAACTTACCAATTCCTCCAAACTCATCCTCTCCTTTTCCAGTACCAACTTCTGCTAAGGGATCAAAGACTGATTTGAAGGTTTATTCACCATTAAGTCTGCAAATAATAGTCTTTGATCCTTTAGTTATGATGCCCTTCTGAACTGTCGTGGTTTAACCCTAGCCAGCAACTGAGCACCACACAGCTTCTTGCTCACCCTCCCCACCCCTGGTGGGATGGGGGAGAGAATCAGAAGAGCAAAAGTAAGAAAACTCATGGGTTGAGATGAGAACAGTTTAATACTTGAAATAATAGAATAACAACAATAACAGTAATAAATTGTAATGGAACGTAAAACAAGAAGAGAGAGAGAGAAACAAAAACTGGGCGGGGGGGGGAGCAGGGATGGGACCAAAAAACAAGTGATGTAACCGCTCACCAGCCGCCGACTGATGCCCAGTCAGTCCCCAAGCAGCAATCGCTGCCCCCCGGCCAACTCCCCCCAGCTTATATACTGAGCATGAAGTCATATGGTATGGAATATCCCTTTGGCCAGTTTGGGTCAGCTGTCCTGGCTATACTCCCTCCCAGCTTCTTGTGCACCTTCTCGCTGGCAGAGCAGGGGAAGCTGAAAAGTCCTTGACTTAGTATAAACACTGCTTAGCAACAACTAAAACATCGGTGTGTTATCACATTATTCTCATGCTAAATCCAAAACACAGCACTAGAAAGAAAATTAACTCTATCCCAGCCAAAACCAGGACATTGACAAATAAGAGCACAAGGGAGGCCAACACACTGCTCTTCAGAAGAGGCAGAGGAACTGTCGGCACTCAGAATAGCTACTACCTCAAAAACTGAGCTCTTAAAGTGTTCCTTCTTCCAACAGGCCACAGCTTGACAGCATTTCCAGCGTTTATCTATGTTAAACAGTAATGCATCTCACTGCTATGTTTTTATAATGTATAACTGAAAATTTAGGGAAAAAAAAAAAGTGTGTTTAAACTCATATAACCAAAAAATGTCTATGACTCTACACCTGTCTGCCAAAAGAAGCACATTTATATTGTGGCAAAAGCTTTGCTTATGTTATTCTACAGGATACCTGTAGCTAAGTACTAAAGTCAGCTGAAGCCTGCCTAGAAAGTCCAGAACCTACCAAGGATTTACAAACCCTAATCTTCAAGGGTCAGTACAGAAGCCAGTAATAGAATGGCAGCTATGGAAAAACATTTGCTTTTGACAAGCATATGTCAAAACGTCATTTGCGTAGCAGAGCAACAGTGAGGGGGATGCAGAGTCTCAACTTAAGCTGCAGTGCAGATCACATCACAGAAGAATCACGTTCCTTGACTCTGCAAACTGTACATCTTACACATAAGTATGAATGCCGACATATGAACTGAAGTGCAGAATGGTCAGCATCAGCAACTAAGACCACCTGGAAATGCTAAGGATGAAGCCTTCAGGGAATTGTTATGGAAACTCCAGTCATATAGGAAGTAAATGTTTGTTCAAGATTTATAACAGAAACTCAAGTGGATTTTAATACAATAAGTGAAGATATTCTTGAGGTGATATCAAAGAATAAAATTGTGCTCATTCTTAACCCCACGTGGCTTCTGCTTTACCTTTCATTTGGAGTAAAATCCTACATATTAAAAGTTTGCTACAGTTCAGGTTTTATTTCATTATTATTCCTAGATCCATATGTGGACACTGATACAGTAAGTTGGCAACATACAGTAAAAAGGTGGCACCTGAAAATGAGGCTCCTTGAGTATTCCAACCAATTCTGCAATATTTTCATCTTTATTTATTAAGGGACTGATGTCTTCAAGAATTTCATTCACCAGCTCCAGATTGTTGTCACTGACAGCCTCAAGTTTAGAATCTTCCAGTCGCTCGTGAGCCTGTAAGATTAAATATATGAGACTATACTGTAAATAAGTTTCAAGTAGTTCCAACTTATAAACCTTTTAATTCATTTCTTGGTGCAACCTTTAGCAGGAAAGCCAGAAAAATTACATATAGTATAATCTGTATATTTTATCTTTAGATCTGCTGAAGGATTTTGCATGCTTAACTACATGACCCAACAAACTTTGTAAGTAGCACCTGTCAGAGGCTTGTATGTCCTTGTTTCCTATAACCTCTATGCTATACACACCAAACAGTCCTCTCTGAACAGTATAGTGCCTCAGATCTTTTCTGCTTCAGAACCCAGCACAAGTACACCTTCTAGAAGAAGGACAAAAAAGGAACTAAGGGATCTGCTCAGAAAAAAATAAAATCTGCAAGAGAAGCATTTACCTCAGGCTCCTCTCTTTCAAACACCTTCAAAACAGCAAATTCTAAAGGAAAGTCTGCATAACTAAAGGAAATTCTAAAGAAAAGTCTGCAGCAAAGGCAGCTGACTGTATCCTGGGCTGCATTAGGAAGAGTGTTGCTAGAAGGTCGAGCTCTATTCAGCACTGGTGAGGCCACACCTGGAGTACTGTGTACAGTTCTGGACATACTGGAGAGAGTCCAGCGAAGGGCCACAAAGATGATGAAGGGACTGGATTACCTCACGTTTGAGGAAAGGCTGAGAGAGCTGGGACTGTTTAGCCTTGAGAAGAGAAGGCTCGGGGGGGATCTCATCACTGCGTATAAATACCTGAGGGAGGGTGAAAAGAGGACAGAGCCAGGCTCTTTTCAGTGGTGCCCAGTGACAGGACCAGAGGCAGTGGGCGCAGACTGAAACACAGGAGGATCTGTCTAAATATAACGAAACACTTTTTTGTTGTGAGGCTGGCTGAGCACTGGCACAGTTTGCCCAGAGAGGTTGGAGTCTCCCTCCTTGGAGATATTCAGAAGCTGTCTGGACATCGTCCTGGGCAACCATCTCCAGGTGACCCTGCTTGAGCAGGGGGGTTGGACCAGCTGCCCTCCAGAGGTACCTTCCAACTTCAACCATTCTGTGATAACGTTTCATCTCTTTCTAGAGCTATTGCTGCAGACATAACCCTTTCCTAAACACTGCAGATACTTAAATTCATTGAAAGGTAGGAACTTTGAGCTGCAAGAGAAACATCTCATAAATCCAAATGCTCTACTTATTTATTACAGGCAGTGCTGTATCATAAAATTAGGGAATAAGAGGCAAAAAATAACTAAGATTCTCAATGCACTCAATTAATAGTTATTTACAACACCATAGCAACAACAAGTTCAGAAAAGAACAATCACTTTGGCATGTAAAACCACAATAAATAACAGATATATTCAGGAGTCATCTATATATACTTCCCATATATATAATTTGAAGGTATGCACAACACTTCTATTTTCTTATTAGTGCTTTAAAACAGATGTTAAAATACAATTTTGCTAAAACCAGAAAACTTGGGTTTCCTGAAATCATCTGTGTATTAAATTCTACTTCATATCTATAAAATGGTATCTCTGCAGGACTGATGATCAAACACTGGAAAGGCTAACTTAACATAGAGAAAGACATTTCAAACATTCCCCAACACCAACACACACAAACCAAATGACCATGATTACAAAGTCATAGGAAGCCTGGCACCTACACACATTCTCCTTAATAAGGGAATGCTATTTTGTACATAATACGTACAGTAAACAATATCCTTCTTTTAAAGTTTACTTCTTTTACAGAAAATAAAAACACAAATCTATTGACTTTAACACAGAGTATAATCTAAATACAAATATCCTCACCCTTCACTCCAAAATCAAGGCCATGTATATACCAGGAAACAGAAAGTTTATCAGTCAACAACCTCTGTAATATGTTGGGGAGTAGCAGGATATTGAGTGGTATGAATAATTAAAAAAAAAAAATAAAAAAAGGAATAGCTAACAGACATTGCAATTATTTTTTTTTTCAGTTCAGTTCATCATTTCAGAAATAGTGATACTGAATTGAGTCTTTTGATTCATTTGATACTTATTATACTTGCCAAATGTTGAAATAGTAAGGCTTTTGCTTCCAACAATCTGACATTGAGTCCTAAATACTGGACTCAATGCTTATAGATTACTCCTAAGACGTTTCCTTGGTCTAGGTTAGGCATTCACCTGGTATGCTGTAGGCTATGCTACAATACTAAAAGCAATAGTGTGACTGCAGAAAAGAAGATGAAGTTTCAAAAGATGAAGGTGAAGGTTCAAAAGAATAGTTAACAAACCAGGAGAAGAGAATTTTGTTAAGACGGTTCAGTAGCAAAACTGAGTAAAATTCATGCATGTTCCAAATTCAACAACTGTTTTCAAAAAAGCATAATAATTCTAAAGGCTAGTTAGGATTGAGCATAAACGTCAGAAAATGACAGGAAAATGCATTTTACAGTGATTACAGTTACTTCCCCTTTCCCCTACCACCCACTGAAGAATGGAAAGGTGCAGTGAAAGAACCCTACCTGAAAAAAGATCTGTAATTTCTACCTTGATGCCTTTATTCTAGACAGAAGTGTGAAATGAACTTAACGCAATTTTAAAAGATTAGCCAAACTTTGCATTGCAAAGTATTATAAACTAGCTACTATGCTTATTGCTTGCCTTCATTTTTTTAAGGACTGAAAAGAAAAAATAAGCTTGTATGGCTCATGGCACATTTCCCTAAGTTTCTTTTTGTCCTTTTTGGGATACTTTACATAATGATTAGTCTTAATAACTGACTAATAAAGGAAAATGAAAAAGCTTTTACGTTTCTGGCTTGGTCTGAAATGAATCTGCTTAAATAATCTGACCATCTCAGGGTCCTGAGAATTGCCTATTCTGTTAAAACTAGCTCTTCTAACAGAAAAACAAGTTTTCTATATTTTTAGAGACAAATGGATATATATGAACTACATATACTTCATGAAATGTGTTGTTATTTTGATCTTGTCCTTATTTAGCTCTGCTGGTTAGGACTGAGGTTTTGGGTTTAATTCCAAAATAATTAGAAAAGAAAAGATGAGTGAGGTCATGCCATATGAACACAATTAAAACCTTTCAGCATTCTAGATAAAGCAAGTTTATAGTTAAGAGTCTGTTTCCATTACAAGCACTTTTTTACATCTGCTAGTCATTAAATTCCACATAACTGTAATTGGCCATTAAAGCACAAATTCTTGATAAGAAAAAAATGCTTTGCAATGAACATTTTCTTCATGATAAATATTAAATTAAAGATGACATGCAGCAGATACTGAAACTGGAAACAACTCTAAGTAAGAAAATGCTTTTACTTTAGTAAATTTAGTACACAAATCTTTCCCTCTGCAGTCATCTCACTAGCAGATGAGACACATCCATTATTTCTAAGTTTATTACTATGCAATGTCTTCCACTTACAACCAATTTTTTTGAACAGCTAAACACAAGTAAATTCTTATATGAATTCTTATGAGAAGTTTTCCTTTCCAGATTTTTATACTGAGCAAAATCCCTGCACAACAATCCTTTAGCTTTACGGAGTATTTCATGCCTGCCCAGAGGGCATTGCTTTCAGATGTCTATTCATATTAAAGAGACAGCTACATTTAAGTTAATTGTTTTTTTCCTCATGAAAGGAGCTCATTTCTATGAAGTAAGATTAAGAAAGAATATAAGCGCTGTGCAATATTGACTGCACCTCCTACTACATTTTAATTACAGAGTCCAAAGATTTTTTGTAAATATCATCTTACTTATTTATAAATATATACCATCTATAAATAAAAGATTTTCATAATGCAAAACCAAAACTAAGGATAGCCCATGTCTCAGAGAGCTGACAATCAAAGATCCCAGTATTACTCTGAGATCCAGGAAAAGGCATGGAGACAATATTTCACTGGGCTGATCAGAAAGTCATTTTGTGCCAAAGACAAAAGGAAAAATTGTTTACGCCATGAGGCAAAGAAGGTTATTGCTCTCACTTTTCATCTTTGGCACAAATGCTAAAAGTTGGAAGGCATGTGGGTTTTGCACACAACAGTGGTCATGAGACTATATTGAAACCAACTGCTTCTACAAATCTTTATTTTGACATTTTCTTCATAAATAAATTTACCACATTATTTCTGGAGTCTCTGAGTTTTTCTTCTTCCTCTAGATTCTTCCATATAACAATAAATCAGCGTGCACAGAAATTACATTATACCAAATCTTCACCTTCAAGAACTCCTTCAAGTCTTTTAATAACACATACCGTACATAAAAGCCATTGTTAATACCTCAATCCATACTCAATGTTCACACAATAATTTAAGAGTTAAAATATTCCCAGATTCTATTCAGAGCAGCAAGTTTAAATACCTTAGCAAGTGATCTTACAATAGGATTTTCCATAATTCCTTTAAGAAAAATCAGGTCTATTTCTTCAGCGCCTGTTGATGTCGGCAGATCAGTAAGGTTATCCAGGACCTGCTGCATGGCTGCTGACAAAACAAAAACATAAAGTAAGTACTGACCAAAATAGGCTTGCATAAATAGCAAAAGCTCTGGGAAACACCACGGTACTAACTTTAGAGATGTTAAGCAGCCAACTACATCTACTGAGAGCAAGTGGACAGGAGAAAGAACTTGTTGTTGTTGTTGTTTGAAAGGTGGAAATAAAGGATCTATCCAAACCCTTATCATAACAATCAACTTAAATCCACGCCCAGCACGTTCCTTTCAAGATTCACTACTACTTAAAGATTGAAAAAATCAAACAAGTATAAACTATGGTTAAGGTACGTATAATCTTCCAAATACAGTAAAAGCAACTCACTCATGACTCTTTCCATTTAATCTCTCTTTCAGGGGAAGTTTTCAGCCCTCATACGTATACCAACCAACTACAACTTTTACAATGCTTGTATAGGCAGACGTCACTGTTTTTAAAATGAACACATAGTTCCAAACCAATTTTTTTTAACCAAAAATTTGCTTCCAAGGCAGCTCTTACCTTGGGGAGACTTGTGTCCGTCCCCAGCAGTCCTTTACAACCAGTTCTGACTTACTGCACTCCAGCACTAAGTGTAGATGGTGCAGATGCTAACACCAACCTGGCACCACAAAACACTGCAATGGGAAGTATATCCTACAATGTGAAACACATTGTGCCTGCCCAGTACCCTCAGTGGAGATTTTCCTGGCTATCTACAGACTCACAGAGAGAACTGCAGCAACTTGGGTGAGAGCGAGCAACGGTGCCCAAGAAAAAGTCAGAAAATCCCACCATCCCAGCTGTCCTGTCCCGTGAAGTCATTTAGGTGAGTGATGAGATTTATTTTATAACTATGTGCTTCAACCCTCCCATTTCAGATAAAAAGTTTAACAAACAAATCTTTTATGTTAGACAACAGGTTCAGTATGTTCACATATTACAGAGTTCTTGTGCATTTGGGCGTGCGTGCAGCAGCCCTTAGTGGGGATTACATCAGCTAGCCTCAAGCTTGCAGAGATGAATAAGTGCCAGCTTAGGCTGAGCACAAAAGGGGGCACCCCTGGAGACAGTTACGATGTCCTTCGCAAGGTAAATGGTCATTCTTTTCCTGTTTTCCAACGTATGACTAAATATTCTTATCTTGTAGTACTACCTTAGTAGTGAATAACCGATACTGTTCTTGTTTTTCACTGTATTCTTTTAAACTCCTGACAAGTTATATGTGCATGCTCAGACAGACACAAACACAGGTATACTAAAAAAAAAATCTTCTGTTGAGATTCCCAACAAGCTAAGAAGCATTAGAACAACCACTGTGTACTGCAATGCTCCACATGCTGCATAGCTGCATGTATCAAGAGAATTAGAAAGCCTATATGCTCCTTCTCCCACACAGGAATTTACCCTTAACTTTCCTCGTTGCTTTATAATGAAAGCTATTATGAAACACTGCACAGTAATGGAACAAACAACATTCTTAACACCTACTTTCTAATTTCAATTCTTCCTAGAAAATTTCATCCCAAGAAAAAATTTTCTGGCCATTCTTTCTGTCAAGTGGAACTGACTTTTCAACAATCAAATCATCTTGTGTGCCACATTTTAACTACAGCAGTGTATGTCAAAAGACTGCATTTTTTAAAAATATGTTTTAACCATACTTCTCGCTTTCAAAAAGTGAATCTTCTGTGAAACCATGAGTAGGAGGGAAAATGACACTTACTTTATGCTTTCAGATTTTGAAGCAATATTATTTCTATTTTATAATAGACAAAGTGCTGTTAGCAATCACACATTACGTAAAGTCACCAAATCAACCTGTAAATAGTCCACATCTTCCTCAGACTAGGTTATGTCCTAGATCTTGACTAGTTCAGCTGCAGATGCAACTGCCTTGTTTCACGTCTTCTCAATTCCCAGTTATAGATTCATGACTCTTAATGCAGTCATGCAGATGTTTCTAGCCAATTTACATAGTGTACTAGGTGCTGCATAAATGCTGTAAGTGTTATAATAATAAGCTTTCTTTACATTTTTAACAGTTATGTAAATTGTTTTTAAGGGACTTCAGGTTAGCACTTTCGTTCTTATAAATAACCTGAGCAAAAATATAAAGCTTCCATCAGGGCAAAGGATGCACCTCAACTACCAGTTGTAATTCTAGCAGTTGATGCTGACGAGGCGTGCATCTAACAAAAAAATTCAGAACATGACTAAATGTTATTTTTCAAAAAGTCATCAAGAGCATCTTCCAACAGGAATTATGTCAGCTGGTTTATTTAAAAAGAATAGACAACAATACATGGGTACTTTTTGTGACAGACTAGACTAAGCACTTTAATTTCAGTGTTTTACTTTTATTATGCAAGTCACGGGCCAGCTTCAAACATATGTTTAATGTGAAATGCTAACATTTGCTCACATGTGAAAATAGCTTTGAAAGTCTGAGCAACATATTGACCTACATACGCCTTAGATATTCATACACGTACTTTCAAACAATTTGATTTATCCAAGACAATTTAAGTGGGGGGGGGAGGAGGGGAAGACACTTTGGTAAATATATTATAGACCCTCTTTTTATGTATCTATTCAACAGGCTTTTGTTTATTCATTTCTAGGGGAAAAAAATCTTATTAAAATACAAGCAGCAGGAGACACATTGTTTCCAGGCTTAATTATAATGATCTTTCAGAATAATGTAGATATACATGGAATTTCAAGTAGCAGTCTAAAACAATTTCACTGTTTTCTTTCCTGGGGCAAAACCACCTTAACTCTTTTAGAAAGTATCTTATCTTTGAG